CCTCACACTTAGAATTGTTAATTGGAAGATTTGTCGTGGGATTTTGAGTTGTTGCGAAATAAATTTTCTATTCTTCAGGATTGAGTAGGGCTCAGTCCCTACTAGAACTCTGGTAATTTTCAGGTGAATATATAACTTTAGGCAATAAATGAACAGCAACTTACCATAACATTGGATTCATGTACCACAATTGATCAGGGACTTGTCGTGGGATTTGATTTGTTCGTACCGGATGAGTGAAAGGCTGCTTTCGGAATCCAAAGAAATATCCAAGATACACCAATGGCAAGGAAATTCCGAACCAGAGACAAAGTAATGCCAACATTGTCGTGAATGGCACGGCTCCTGAACTGTGTTTACCCCAAATAAAGAAGTTCAAGAAAAAGCATGTCGTAAATACAATTCCTGGGTAGAATGTCGCAGTCTGTAAATGAAAATAAAATTCATATTCCTCTAATGTTGCACTTACAAAGAAGAGAGTAAATTTAAAACTAATTTTTTAAATATAATAAATTGGACTAAAATGAGTTTAAAATACTTGCCAAAAGTGCGGCTCTCTTCCATTCTTTACCCCGCATTGTTTTATATAATCTAGCTGAGAAATATCCAGCAACTAGACCACACATAACGTAAAGGAAAATTGCACACGTTCCCAGAGATCCTCTACTTGCTGGAGAAAGCATTCCGAGCATGGCAAAAACTGAAAATTACAAATTATGGTTAATTCAAGAAAAATTTAATTATCACTACCAGGATTTTACTACCAGGATTTTACGATTTAATTAAAAAAATTATTAAAAAAAAATTTAATTACGAAGATTTAGAAAAAAAGAAAAATCGTTTCGGTAAAAAATTATGACCTGTAAAATTTTTTTTTGGAAATTAAAGTGTAGAAAACATAGATATTTGCAGTTTTTAAATTTTTCTCATAACTATTCCAGAAGTCACTTAAAACTTGAATTGTTTAATTAATTAACAATTTATTTTGCATAAATAATCATGAATTTTTAAAATTCTTGTTGTTATTAATAGAGACATTATTATTGTACATCTCTACCAAATATTATTAAATTTTATCAAAAAACAACGAAGCAATAGTGAATTTTCTAAAAAGGTACTTTAAAGTTTAGTTGTTTATAACTAATTGAAAAATTAAAATTGTTGAAAACGCATTCCGGAAATGTTTTTGTACCACCCGGCTGTAACAAATTATGTATAGACATAATGCAAATTTAAAAAGTTTGTTTTAGGTGGCCCAGTTCAAAAATTTGGACTCACTAATGATTTTTACTTTAATTGCGAATTTTAAATTCTTTAATTTTAAAAATTTGCACTTACATATGGTGATGAGTGCCATGAAAAATATTTGAATTCCACTTCCGATAACTGCTGCAAAGAGTCGCGAATTCGTTGGTGGTCGAAAAACATCGCCATGAACAAGTTTCCAGCCAGTTTCTTCAATAGCTTCATCGAGGCCAGCAAGACTGTCGCTATCGCCAGAATTGTATCTAGCAATATCTCTTCTCAATGTTCTAACCATAATCATCGTTAGAATACCTTTTTAAAAGAAATGAATTACTTTAATGAAAACAAAGTACAAAATTCAGGTCTCAGATCGATTTTAAGGAACAAAAACTAACTTTTATCTCTAAAACAATTATCTATATTAATTTTTAATTATTTTCTGAAAGTTCTTGGAGAATTCAATTATTTATTTTTCATTAAAATTTTTGAGAAATCAATTATTTTCAAAATTTGCAATTAAAATTCTTCAAAGTTGAATTTTAAAAATTGTAATAGTAATACTTGACAAAAGTAAATTATTTTCAATTAAATTTTACAGAATTTTAATTATTCAAAAAGATTTTTAATTGTATTTCAAAAATTTAATTAGAAACATGATTTAAAAATAATTTTTAAAAGATTTGTCTATTGTTATTTTTCATACACTATAAAAATCGAAATAATTTGCATTTCACACTAAAAATATAGTATTTTGTTGCAATATTTGGAAGAAAAGTTGGAAAAGTCGGAAATTTTGAAAATAAGTCAAAAAAAGTAGATTTTTTTAAATAATGAAAAAAGTGATAATATCCGAGGCCTGAAAAGTACCACAAGAAAAGAAATTATTACCAGAGAGAAAGAAGACGACTACCAAGGAATTAATAATTGAAAACCAATGAATTTCAACATCTCTCATTCCCAAATAGATATCCCATCTACTGGCCCAACTGACATCAGATTCCTTCCACTCAACTGAATAAAAGAATTGAATATTTGTGCCTTTAGAATTAACATACTGACGTCTTACTTGGCCATTTGGTTTAATACAAACATTATTTTTAAATTCGATTTGTGTGTAATCGACAGAATTCGCCGCTACTTCAAAGCCAACGACTCTAAATTGATTTCTAAAGAAAAAAAATATAATTTTTTATCATAAATGAAAAAAATAATTATTTCTTAGTTTTTGAGTAAAATTTTATACAAACTCTCCGTGCTTGTGGTAACTCAATTTCAACTCCAGATAATTATTGATAAATACTCGATCACCAACATTATTGCTTTCAATACCACCCAATCGATATCCATGATACACTATCCAATTATTTGTTTCCTTGTGCTTTTTCTTCGTTGCAGCTGGTAAATTATCAATTAACCTGTAATTTTTTCACAAAATTTTTATATACATTTCGTATCATTTTCATAACTTGTTCAACTAAGTTGTTTGTCGTTTAATTTTTCTGCTAAAGTTAAAAAAACATTTTTCTATTTATATTTTTATATACTTTTGTATAAAAAATATTTTGCATAATTTTTTGATTATTAATTTGAAAAAGAAAAATTTGTAAAAACAAAACATTTTATTTTTGTCAAGAAAAATAATTTTTTTCATTCAATCGTTAATCATAAACGTTGTGAACTATTTCTTGCAATACCAATAACCAATTGCAGTTTTTAAACTAGAAAATTTCGTAAAAGTAGTAAGTTTCAAAAAATTACTAACAGATGAACCGAATATTCATGTTGAATGCGTTCAAGAACGCGTTGTGAATTCTCTTCGTCCCAAAACATCGGTTTACCTGGATGATGACAAAGAAGACGACAGGGAATATCTTCTCTCATTGCTACTTCATACGGTGTATTTACAATCCTGCAAAAATAAAAATAGTCGTCCTTACACTATTCTTGGGAAAATAAAAACTTAATAAAAAAAACGTGATACACGGTTATCCCATAAAAATCACTTAACAGAATTGTCAATCGATCGAAATTCATTTCATTTCATTAAAAAAATGTTACATTTATTTACAAATTTCTTTAATTGTAAAATTATTCCAAAACATCAATAACTTCTTTTTTAAAAAAATATTTAATTACTATTTTTCCACATGAATTAAAATTCTTCAAAAGATTCAAATTCAAACCTTTTTGAAATTAAACAACTTGCAAACAATTGTTATAAAACATGAAGAACGAGTGATAAAATCATTATTTTAGAATTTTTAACTAAAATTATTCTTTAAATAAATGATTTTTAATAATAATTCAGATTTTCAAAGATTTTAATTTGTAACCTTTCTAAAATTCAATTATTTTAAAAAATTCATGCCATAATGCTTTTAATATTTAATTATTATCTAAAATTAATTATTTACTAATTTCTAATTAATTTAATTGAAAATTGAAATTTTCTGAAATTTCAAATTGAATTTGAAGTTAGTTGTTGTTTGCTTTTTTTATCTAACTTTTTAAGGTTTAATATTTTCAAAGAATTGTAATAAAGAAATTCTTAAAATTAATTTTTTAAAAATATTTTTAAATAATTTTTGAAAGATAATAGTGTTTTAATTTAATTATTTGGAAATTTGATAGAATCTAATAATAATACTAATTGAAATTTGATAAAATCTATTAAAAATAATAGAAATTTGATAAATAATTTTAAAAATAGAAGAATTTTTGAAAAATATGAAAAAATACAAATAAAATTTTTAAAGAATTTGAATTATAAAATAATATGAACACGTTTTTTTCCAAAATTTTATTAAGTCTAAAAAATTAAATTTTTAAGAATTTTAATTTACTTTGTTCGAAGATAATTAATTGTTAAAAAATTATGATAAAACATTTCTAAAAATTAGTTTCTTAAAAATATTGTAACGTTATTCTTCGAAAATAATTGAATTTCTTAAAAGAATTTTTGTAAGTTATAGAAAACCAGATAATAAATTTTTTTGAAAAATTTTAATTACAAATTTTGTTCTCCAAAATGTTAAAATAATTATAAAAAATTTTAATGCTATTATTTTTTCTGTGTATTTGAATTTTTTTAAATGTGTAAGTGAAAATATGGAAAAATTTAAAAATTGTTTTAAATTAGAATGGAAAAATTCTAAGAATTTCTTTTTTCTAAAATATTTTAAGATAATTATTAGAAGCAAATTTTCATTAATTTTCATTTTTAAATTTACACTTGAAGATTTTTCATTAAAATTTTTAAGAATTTAATTATTTCAAAAATGTGCCATTAAAATTCTTCAAAAGTTGATTTTCAAAAATTGTAATAAAATACTTAAACAAAAATAAACTAGTTTCCATTAAATTTGACAAAATTTCAATTATTCTAAAATTTTTTAATTATATGTATATTTTTTAAATTTTATTATCGTAGAAAAATTATTCAAAAATATAATTTTGAAAAATTTGTCTATTTATAAAACTGTAACAGAATACTGAAATTAAATGCTTCTTTGGCTCAAATATAAAATATTGATTTTTCTTTTGTCAATAACTTCTGTCAAATAAACAAAAACTAATAATTATTATATTCTGATATTGATTATATTTTCTCTATAATCTAATTTTTTTACTTTTCTGAATTCAAAACTCCAAACAAAAATACTAATTTTGCAACTAAAATTCATTTTGAAATCAACTTTAATTATAGAAAATTCTACGAGAATTAAATTATTTAACTACAAAAATAAATAATTTCTGAATAATTTAATTCTCATAAAGAATTTTATCAACAAATTTTTAAATAATTAAATTCTTTTGACGAATTTATAATAAAAAATTTTAAGATTAATTACATTTTTCAAGAAATTGTATTAAAAATAATTGAAATTCTGTGATGAGTTTTATTATTTATAAAAATAATTGAATCCCTATAAAAAATGTATTATTTATGAAATATTTATTTATTATTATATAAATAAAATAATTCAATTATTTCCTAATTGAATTATTTATAAAAAATTTGTTAATTGAATTCCTGTGAAATTTTTATAACTTATGAATATAATTAAATTTTTGTGTAGAATTTTACCAACATTTTTTGTAAATAATAATTGAATTTTTTTTGAAAACTTTATTAAAATAGTAGATGTTGAAAATCATTGAATTAAGGAAATGGTTTGAAAATAATTGAAATTTTACCAAGAATTGTATTAAATTTTTTTTAAAATAATTGAATTTCGGAGAAGAATTTTATTATTTATAAAGATAATTGAAATTTAAACAAGAAGTTTTTTTTAAATATTTGAACATAATTGAATTCCTGAGAAGAATTTTATTACTTTTGAAAATAATTGAATTTCTGCAATAGGTAATTTGTAACTTCTCCAAAATTTAATTGTTTTTAGTGTTTTTAACCAAAATTCTTCTTATAAATTCATTATTTTTAATAATTAATTAAATACATTTTTAAAATTGTAATTAATTTCGGAAGAATTTGAATTGATAAAATGTTTAAAAATGCCAAGTTCTTTAAAATTTATAATTAAATTCATTCATAATTGAAATTTTCTAAAATTTCAAATTGAAACTTTTTGATGTTTAGGAATAGAAAAAATTGAAGGTTTTGTATATTAGAATTCGTGGTAATTTCATAGTTTATGAAGCAAACAAAAAATACACTTACAAATCATTCGAGAAGGAAATTATCATGGAAATTTGCATAGAAAAATATTCTTCTTTCTCAAAATCGTTAATTATAAACTTTGTGACCTTAACATTAAAATTGTAAATTGAATAAAAGTTGAAAACATTACCTGTCGCCTCGAAGAACTTCTCCCAAGTTTTCAGATTTGTAATTAAGAGTTCCATTCTTTGGCAAACAAAATGGAAGAGAATAATATTCATAGGGCAATTGTGTATGTGTACTTGTCATCTTCACAGCTTTCACTTCGATTTTCTGCCCCTTTTTGAATTCGACTGGAGCAACACCAGGGACATAAAATCCATCTGCCTCCATTAGGGAGAACAGAATTGCAAAAATAATGATGTTCCATATTAACATTCCCTGCATTGCAATTTTAAAACTCGTTAATAATTTTATTTCCCTACTTTCCTTAAATTAAATACCAGTTTCAATAATTAAGACAAATAAACTCAATAAAAAAATTTGTTACAAATTTGATAAATAATCACTATTGTTTATAAAGATAAAACACGTATACAATTTTTTGATTCGTTTTTATTTCATGCAACAATGATCGTTGTTTATAAAAAAAGAAACCATACTGACTGTTGTTAAAAGATAATTTAAATCTTTTTTTTTAATAAAGAAACGAAGAAAAGTGGAAATTAAATTTAAATATGTTGAAATTTTGCAAAAAAAATTAATTTTTCTTGATGTTGCTCTTGATGTAAAGTTTCTTACCATTATTTGTTAATTTGTTAAAAAAAGGCGTGCCACGCCGACTAATTATATATCCACTAATTCTTTTCACTGCTTTGAAAGTTTATTAATCCACAATCACGTCAAAATAGAAAATTCTGGTGTATGTCAATTGAAATTTGTTGAAAGACGTGCAGACGGTGTGACCACATATTATGATTGTGCAGTGGGGCCAAATTTCTGTCTCGTGAAGCTGAATCCACAATGGTACGTACGCATCAGGGATGGGAAGCATTGTAAAGAGAAAAACGTCGATCTGAAAATATGACGTCACGAACGACGATTGCCAAATGTGATTGGCTCGATAGAAATAAATAGAGGGTGTAAATGCACCTTTATTATTGCAAACTTGTAAGGTGTGTGAGCACCTTAAACACAACCTTAGAAAAAACAAAAAGAGAAACAGGCAAAAACAGGTTTCAAACCCCTTTTTGTCATTACATTATACTCAACCAAGTTGATAAAAATTTCTGTCACAAGTGTCCACATCTAATTGATTTTATCCAAGTTCTGCGTTGTAAACAGCATCATATGGGTTGTTAAATCCAGGGTGAACTTCATGAATGTTAAATGTTGACAAACAATAAACAAAGAGTTTGTTGATTATTTTAACTTTTCAGAAACTAAATATTAATTCTTCTATTCTTTATATTGGAAAATGTGTTTTTTTCTTTTTGACTAAGTTAATAAACATTTGTGGAAAATGGAAGAATTAGATACTGGTGAGTTTTTAATGATTCTACGCATGTTTAGTCCACTGTTTAAGAATTCAGGGGTGTATCGTCGATGAAGATCGTTTCAATCTCTTTAAGATTATAATTGTTTCGTGTTCTTATCGTAAGAATTCATTTTATATTGCAATTGAATAATGATTTATGCTTTAAAATAGTCTCCACGATGTATCAACTTTTCTTTAAATTTTCATTTGACTTTCTAATATTTCACATGCAGATGAAATTAAATGTCTTTGCATTTAAAAGTTGACAGCGATGTACAAGAGGATTTTGTAAATATGCTAAATAGAGTCAGACAGAATTTGTTTTTGTTTATTATAAAAATTCTTAAAAAATGAAAATGCATCCATCGTGAAAATATTCCTTGTTTTTTAAAATTGTTAATTAGATGTAAACAAACGCCACATTGTAAACAACACTATTCGTCTGATTCACAAAATTTTGACTTGTCACTTTACGGAAATTTGTTGAATTTTAATTTTAAGTGCAGAAAATTTTCTTAAAGTTTTCAGTTTTAAATTGATACTTTTAAAATACTTTAGTTATAAATTCAAAAAGTTTATAATTAACACTGTTTAAAAAATAATAATTTGCTAATTTTAATACCAAATATATTCAGTTCGATTCAAATATTAAAGTTGCGACAGGTGAGGGAAAAATCAGGGATTTTTATTAAAAGTACAAGAAAAAATTTAATTTTTAGATTTCTTAAGAAAATTCTAAATTTTAGTGTATTTTTCGTTTGCCTCATAAATTATAAAATTACCACGAATTCTAATACAAAACCTTCAATTTTTTATAATCCTGAACTTCAAAAGGTTTCAATTTTAAATTATAGAAAATTTCAATTTTGAATGAATTTAATTAGAAATTTTAAAGAACTTGACTTTTGGAAAAATTTTAATAATTCAAATTCTTTTGAAATTAGTTACATTTCTTAATAAATATTTAATTAATTATTAATAATAATGTATTTGTAGGCAAATTTTAGTCAAAAAAAACATTAAAAAATTGAATTTTGGAGAAGTTACAAATGATTGCAGAAATTCAATTATTTTCAAAAGTAATAAAATTCTTCGCAGAAATTCTATTATGTTCGAAAATTTTTTTAAATTCTTGATTAAATTTTAATTTTTTTTATAAATAATAAAATTCTTCTCCGACATTCAATTATTTTTAAAAAATTTAATACAATTCTCGGTAGAATTTCAATTATTTTCAAACAATTTCCTCAATTGAACGATTTTCAATATCTAATAAAATTTATTTACTTTACTACTTAAATAAATAAATAAATAAAATTTTCCAAAAGAATTCAATTATTTAAAAAGAAATTTGATAAAATTCTATGCAAACATTTCCTTATTTTCAAAAATAATAAAAATTTCACAGAAATTCAATTATTTACAAATTGTTTTTTTTTATAAATTTCATACCAATAATTCAATTATTTTCAAAAATAATAAAATTCTTCGAAGGAATTCAATTGTGTTCAAATATTTATATAAATTCTTGTTTAAATTTCAATTACCTTTGTAAATAATAAAATTCAATTATTTAAAAAAAAATTTAATACAATTCTTGGTAAAATTTTAATTATTTTCAAACAATTTTCTCAATTTAACGATTTTCAATATCTATTTTAATAAATTTTTCAAAAAGAATTTAATTCTTTAAAAAGAATTTTGATAAAATTTTATGCAAACATTTCAATATTTTCAAAAATAATAAAAAATTTCACAAAAATTCAATTTTTTATAAATTTTTTAGCAATAATTCAATTATTTTCATAAATAAAATTCTTTCTAGGAAAATCCAATTATTTTCATTTCATAAACAATAAAACTCAATGCAGAATTATTTTAATTATTTTTAATACAATTTTAATCGAATTTCTCGAAAAATGTAATTATTCTTAAAAATTTTATTAAAAATTCGTCAAAAAAATTTAATTATTTAAAAAATTTGTTGATAAAATTCTTTATGAGAATTCAATTTTAAGAAACATTCAATTATTCAATAAATTATTTATTTTTGTATTTAAATAATTAAATTCTTGTAGAATTTTCTAATAAAAATTTACTTGAAAATGAATTTTAGTTAAAATTTTAGATAATAATTGAATATTAAAAGCATTATAGCTGAATTTTTAGAAATAATTGAATATTGAAATGGTTTCAAATTAAAATCTTTGGAAATTTGAATTTTTCATACTTTTTAACTGACAATTCTGTAGAATTAATTTTTTTGGAAAAGTTTAATTGAATTTTTTTAAAATTATTTGTAGTTTTTATTTTCTAATGTATATTTAATTGAAGAATTTCCGAATAATCGAAATTTTCTAGAATTAAATTTTAAACAAATAGATTAGAATATTCTCAAAGAAATTTTTCGAAAATTAATAAAAATAATTGATTTAAAGAACAATTATAGTTCAAAATCCTAGAAAATAATAATTGAATTGAAATCATGAAAATAATTTTCAATAAGTTACAGTAACATGAAGAAATCGATCACTCCGAGTCGAAGACTCGGAGTGATCGATATCTTCATGTTTTATAATAATTATAATAAAAATAATTATTCTTATAAGTTATTGAATTTCAAAGTTTGTATTTAAAATTTTTAAAAATCTTGATTCATATGGAAAAATTACAATAATTAAATATTTATTTAAAAAAGAAGTTATCGATGTTTCCGAATAATTTTACAATTAAAGATAGTCGTAATTAAATTTAACAGAACATTTTTTTCAATAAAATTTTTTCCTTCATTTTCTAAAAATTCAAAAATTTCAATTTTATTTTGAATTAAAATTTGCAGTTGACAAATAGAATTTATAAACATTTTTTTCCTTTATTTTTAAAAAAAACTTTGATTTTTATTAAAACAATTGTAATTAAGAAATAGAAATGATGCAAATTATTTCCTTATGAAAATTGAGAATTTTCTACGAAAATATTAAGAAACGAGAATATGTAATGTTTTTTTTTCCTAAAAAAAAAGAATGATTTTGTGAACAATATTGTTATTGAGAAATAAAAATTATGCATAAAATGAATATATTTCCTATTTATTAACTATAATTTTTTAACAATTCTCAATTTTCTACAGTTTTTTTAAAAAATGAAGAGCAGAATTAGAAGACACTGAAAAAAACTGTTATCTTATTTCACATTTGACTAGAATTTTTCAAAAAAATTGATTAATTTTATTCATAATTTCTGAAATTTAAGTTAAATTAACTTATTTAATTATAATTAATATTTTTCTACAATTAATTAACTTGAAGAAAGAATAAATTTGCTAATATTAATAAAAATTCTCTGTTTAAAAATAGTGAATGCAGAAAGTCCGGAGGTGCAGCAAGAAGAAATTGAGAGATACGAAGAGGTGATAATAATAGAAGAACAAAATGAAGTCGATGTGCCGGAAGAAGTTGTTCCCGAGGTTGAAGTGAATCACGATAGAATTGAACACGACATTCCAGTGGATCAAGAAGTCGTCATAGAAACAAATGAAGAACCACAAAGAGATGAATGTAAGTTGCCTTGATAAGTAAACCCCGTTATTAATTCAGCCCAGCCAACTTTCAAGATCTTTTCAGCTTGTACTCGAGTGAAGAGAAGAAAATACGCCGAAATCAGCAGTAGTCCGGGAGGATTGTCCGACGACAGTATAGATGCAGATCAAAAATGTTCAATTTGCCTCGAAGGCTGGAGTAATTATGGCGAGCATCGTCTTTGTTGTTTGAGATGTGGCCATTTATTTGGACACAAATGTATAAAACAATGGTTGGAACAATTTCAAAATGCCCAGTCACGCCGTTGTCCTGAGTGCAATACAAAAGCAACTAAAAAAGACATTAGAATATTGTACGCCAAAAAACTATACTGCCTTGATAATGCCGAGGAGGAGAAATTAAAGGAACAATTGAAGGCGACAAACATTCAAAAGGAACAAATTGAGAGACAATTAATAGAGTACAAAACAAAGGTGAGATAATACTTTTAATCTATGTCAGTTTTTTTTTAAAATTCTTTTCTGAAAATTGCTTTAATCAGTTTAAATTACTTCAAAATTTCCACATATTTTTCAGACAATTCTGATAAGAGATCGTCAGCACATGAATTTATTTTATTTAGTATACAATGCACAATACGTACCAAAACAATACTACCACTGATCTTTACCTTTTAACATTGAGTTATCTCAATATTTTTAGTAATGTTTAAATATATTACTAAAAACTCTTTAATTAAAGCGAGATCCGAGGATGACATAATTTCTAACAATCTATCAGTATGTTCGATTGACACATTTAAGAAAAACAAAGACTCACGAAGACACATCCAAGCCGAACAATCAACAATTAAGTGGTGCAGACTTTCATTCTCAGATACACTTGATAAAAACATTTACATAATTTATCCGGACTAAACACATACTTAACTGAACCATTCAAAATTCTGATAACATAAATATTTGACAATCGTAGTTGGGCAAAAATTCTTTTTTAAAAAAGACTTAGCTTAGACAATAAATATAGCCGTGTTCCCGGAAGCAAGAAAAAATCAATAAGCTACTCGAAGAAAACTATCTATCTCTACTTGCATTTACAAGGTCGGCTCCGAATAATTTAAGAAAGATCTCACAGTCCAGGCTACCAATTACTTGAGCATAATTGTCCCAATGAGGAGCCAGATCATCATATTCAAAGAAAACGTGTAATTGATTAATTCAATTGAATTTATTATTTGAATCCTTGCGAGACAAACTCATCAGTCTATCCAAACAAAGTTTAGGAAAACGCGAATTGTCCATTTTAGCGATCTTTGCTACCAAGGATAAGATGTTTTTTTTAGAACCATATAGCATAGGTCAGGGTGTCTACAACACCTGAAAAACCTGGAAAACCGGGAAATGTCAGGAAATTTTTTCGAAAGTCAGAAAAACTTTTTTATCCTGACTTGAAATACTCTTGAACAATATTTTTAAAGCCCACAATGAGTTTTACAAATTTTTAGTGAAAAATTAATAGTAATAATTAATATTGACTTTCTAATTTGCAATTCTATTCTATTTTGAGAAATAATAAATGAACCACAGACATACATATATAATCAAATAGAAAAAAGATTGATCGCTTAAAATTCTGAAAGATCAAAAGAAAAGCAGAAATAATGACATTAAAAAAATTCGTTTCGTAAAATAAGTAAATTTCTTTTTAAAATCCATAATTCAGGACTCGAACTAGATCCGTAAATCCAAGTCAATTTTTTTGAAAAAAAGGTCCGTAAAGTCCGTAATTTGATTGAAAAAGGACGAAAAATTTGTAAACTGTACAATATAATTTGGGGAATTTTAGATAAATTACAAATGATTGCAGAAATTCAATTCTTTTCAAAAGTAATAAAATTCTTTGCAAAAATTCAATTATATTCCAAAATTTTTAAAAATTCTCGTCAAATTTTTTCAATTATTTTTATAAATAATAAAATTCTTCTCCGAAATTCTATTATTTTCAAAAAATTTTAATAAAATTCTTGGCAAAATTTCAATTATTTTCAAAAAGTTCCCTCAATTCAATGATTTTTAATATCTACTATTTTAATAAAATTTTCCAAAAGAATCTAATTATTTAAAAAAAATTTCTTATTTCTATAATATAATAAACATTTCACAGGAATTCAATTATTTGCAAATTATTAATAACTTTCTTTGCAATAATTCAATTGTTTTCATAAATAATAAAATTTTTTACAGAGGTTCATTTATTTTCGTAAATACATAATTAAAATTTCATAGTAATTCAATTATTTACAAATTTTTTTTTATAAATTTCTTTGCAATAATTAAGTTATTTTCATAACTAATAAAATTTATCGCAGAATTTCTATTATTTTGAATGCAATTTTAAATAAATTCCTATAAAAATGAAATTATTTTTTAAAAATGTAATTAAAATTCTTCAAAAGAATTTAAATATTTTTTCAAAATTTGATATAATTTGATTTTTTAAAATTTAATAATTATTTTCAATATATTTTTTAACAGATTTCTTGAAAGAAATAATTTATTGTCAAAAATTGAAATGAAATTTTTCAAATTACATAATTCAATTACCCTTTAAAAAAAAAACGTTAATGAAATTCTTCGTAGAAATTTAATTAATTTTAAATTGAAGAAATTCAATTATTTTCAAAAGTAATAAAATTCTTCCCAGAAATTGAATTATGATCACAAATTTTTATGAAATTGTTAGCAAAGTTTCAATTATTTCAAAAGTAATAAAATTCTTTCCCAGAACTTGAATTATGATGACAAATTTTTAAGAAATTTTTGGCAAAGTTTCAATTATTTTCAAAAAATGTCCTCAATTCAATGATTTTGAATATCTTTTATTTTAATGAAATTTTGCTAAAAAATTCAATTATTTAAAAAAAATTTTATTAAAATTCTTCGTAAACATTTAATTATTTTCATTAGGAATAACATTCTTTTTAGTAATTTAATTATTTTCATATGTAATAAAACTCATCGCAGAATTTCAATTATTTTTTAGTACAATTTTAATTGAATACCTCTAAGAAATTTTTGTATGTAATTATTCTTAAAAATTTTATTAAAATTCGTCATCAATTTAAAAATTTGTTGGTAAAATTCTATATGAGAATTAAATTTTAAGAAACATTCAATAAATTATTTATTTTTGTATTTAAATAATTGAATTCTAATAAAAATTTATTTAAAAATGAATTTCAGTTAAAATTTTAGATAATTGAATATTAAAAGCAATATAGCGTAAATTTTTATAAATAATTGAATTTTAAAATGAATTTTTTTGAAATATGGGTATTGAATTTTCTTTTTTAATTTTTGAAGTTTTTATTGTCTAATATATTTATATTTTATTGAAGAATTTACGAATAATTGAAATTTCGTTAATTAAAAATTGTTGAAAATTATAATTGAATTGATTTAATGTTTTTATCACTCGGTTATCTTTAATTATTATAAAACATGAAGAAATTGATAGCTCGATCGATATCTTCATGTTTTATAGTTATGAAAAATGCATTTTTGTCTGTAAAGTACGCATTTTTAAATACTGTGTCACTGGTTCAATCCGTGATAATTTTTTTAAAAATAATTTATTTTTTATATTCATTATTTATAACGTTGATGACGTTTACAATGATTTAGAAGAAAAAATAATTTTTTATTCAAACTTTTGTCTTAATAAAACTTTGACAATGTTTCTTGCACAAAAAATTAAAAAAGGAGAATTTTGTAAACGTAAAATATTGTTTTCTGAGTCGATTTAACGACCTGTCATTTTAACAAAATATTATTTAATCGAACTGTCTTTATGAAAAATGACATTTAACTGAATTAGAATTTTTAACGAATTGATATTCTTACAAATCAAAGTGAATTTTATTATTTTAAGACTTGAATTAAAATATAATTAAAATATGAAATATTACACCTTTTAAATATTAATGAAAATTGCAGACATGAATATTGAACGACGTTGAAGAAACTCTTTAAATTCTACTCAAAGTTAGATTAGAATTAGAAACTTTTTGTTTATCATCAAATTGTTAATATTTTTTTTTTTCATTTTAGGTGAAAATGTTCGAGTTTCAGATCAGCACGATGCAAAAGCGAATCGATGATTTTAAAAGTGAAAGAACAAGACGTTTTCATCATTCAAACACGAGTTCCATGTATCATGATAGTGTTATTCTTCAAAAAGAACGTTCCTTCACTATTTGTGAGAGAGCAGGTTGTCGAGTAATGGCACATAATCCATGGCACAATATTTTAGTAACATCTCTAAAAACAACTCACCCCCTAAGAACCGACCACGGAATTAGTAAAATAATGTTAGACACATTTTCACTCATGCCCTATCGAAGTATTCATAATGGCGCTATCAGAGATTTAGACTTTCAATTCGACCATCCTCAAATCATGCTGAGTGCAGGTTTTGACAAACGGGTTATCCTGACTGATATTCGCGATATTTGTCGAGAAATACATCATTACGATGAGAACGCTCAACTTTGGAGTTGTGCTTGGTCTAAGGAATATCATCACTATTTTTTCGCAGGAACACAAAATGGATGTATTGTCAAATATGACATTAGACAAACGGGAACATCATTGGAGATAATACAAAATCCTGATGACAGTTCACCTATCGTCTCTTTAGCTTCCGTTCCACACAATTCTCATGGGGCTTTTAGAACAGGTAAGCTTCATTCTTCAACAATGGTTTTAATTTTAATGATTTTTCACATATTTCTGTTTATTTATTTATTTATTAGTTACAGTCTACAAAAAATATTCTTTTTCATACCTTAAATTTTGAAACTTTCTTTATGCCAAATGGTTTACGAAATTTCAATTGTTCGTAAATTCTTTATTTAAATGTATATTTCAAATTAAATACTTCAAATAATATAAAAAAAATTATCTAAAATTTTAAGTAAAATAATTCATTTTTTGATCAAATTTATTAGAAAATTTTTCGAGATTTCAATTATTTAAATACAAAAATAAATACCTAATTTATTCAATAATTGAATATTTCTTAAAATTGCATTTTTATTTTATTTTTTTTATTTATTTTTTTTTTTAATTTTATTTCAAAATAATTGAATTCTTTAGGCGAATTTAAAAAAAAAATTAAGAATAATTGCAATTTTCTATCATTTTATTAAAAATTGTACAAAAAAATAATTGAAATTCTCCGACAAGTTTTGTTATTAATGAAAATAATTAATTTCTTGTGAAGAATTTTATTCAAATTTTTTTAAATAATTGAATTTCTAAAAGTTTTTTTAAAATAATTGAATTGTATCGAGAAATTTCATTAAAAAATTTAAAATAATTGAAATATGACGAAGAATTGAATTTCTCAGAAGTATATTTTTCAATTCTTTCGAGAAGCTTCATTAAAAATTTAAACATAATTGAATTGTTGCGAAAAAAATTATAATAAATTGGTAAGTAATTGAATTCTTGTGAAATTTTTATTAAATTCTTGTTTAAATAACTGAATTCTTTTGGGAAATGTTATTAAAATAGTAGATATTGAAAATAATTGAAATGAGGAAAATTTTTGAAAATAATTGAAATTTTGCCAAGAATTTTATTAAATTTATTGAAATTTAAATTTTTTATCCTTTTAAATTCAAAATTTCTCAATTTAATGATAAAATGAATAACAATTATTTTAAAAAATTTTTGACTAAAAATTCTTCTCTGAATCAACTATTTTTAATAATTTTCGAAAAAGTTCTTTTTGAGAATTTTGTTTACAATATTCAATTTTACGAAATTTCAATTATTCGTAAATTCTTCATTTAAATGTATATTACAAAATAAAAACTTCAAATAATATAAAAAAAAAATTCAATTAATCTTCTAAAAAAATGTATTTCAAAATTCAATTATTTTAAAAAATTTAAGCTATATTGCTTTTAATATTCAATTATTATTTAAAATTTCAACTGTAATTCATTTTTATAAAATGAAAATCAATTTTTATTAGAAAATTCTACTAGAATTCAATTATTTTAATACAAAATTAAATAATTTATTGAATAATTGAATGTTTCTTAAACTTGACTTGTCATAAGGAATTTTACCAGCAAATTTTTAAATAATTGAATTCTTTCGAGGAAATTTAATAAAATTTTTAAGAATAATTACATTTCTCGAGAAATTCGATTAAAATTGTATTAAAAATAATTGAAATTCTGCGATGAGTTTTATTATTTCTGAAAATAATTGAATTCCTAAGAAGAATTTTATTATTTTTGAACATAATTGAATTTCTGCGAAGAATTTGATTCCTTTTGAAAATAATTGGATTTTTGCAATCATTTGTAACTTCTACAAAATTCAATGTTTTTAGTGTTTTTAACTAAAAGTTTTCTATGAATCTATTATTTTTAATGATTAATGCCTGAAAATAATTAAAATTCTGCGATGAGTTTTATTATTTCTGAAAATAATTGAATTCCCAAGAAGAATTTTATTATTTTTTAATATAATTATATTTCTGCGAGGAATTTTATTACTAAAATAATTGAATTTCTGCAATAATTTGTAAATCCAAAATAAAATCTTTTTTCAGTGATTTTAACTAAAATTCTTCTATAAATTCAATATTCTTAATAATTTTTGAAAAAGTTTTTTAAGAATTTTCATATTCATTTGTTTACAATTAAATTTTACAAAATTTTAATTATTCGGAAATTCTTCAATTACATATAATTATATATTATAAAATAAAAACTTCAAAAGTATAATTTCAAATAAACTTTTTCAAAAAAATTCATTCTTCTACACAATTGTTAGTTAAGAGTATGAAAAATTCAAATTTTCAAATATTTTAATTTGAAAACTTTTTAAAATTTAATTATTTCCAAAAATTCACGCTATAATGCTTCTAATATTCAATTACAATCTAAAATTTTAAATGAAATTCATTTTTAAATCAATTTTTATTCGAAAATTCTATTGGAATTCAATTATTTAAATACAAAAAAATGTATTGAATAATTAAATGTTTTTTAAAATTGACTTTTCCTAAAGAATTTTTTTAACAAATTTTTAAATACCTAATTGAATTCTTTTGATGTTATTTTAATAAAATTTTTAAGAATAATAACATTTTTCAAGGAATTCCATCAAAATTGTATTAAAAATAATTAAAATTCTGCATTGAGTTTTACTATTTATGAAAATAATTGAATTCCTATGAAATTTTTATCATTTTATGTATGAAAATAATTGAATTCCTATGAAATTTTTAACATTTTATGTATGAAAATAATTAAGTGTTTGCTTAGAATTTTATCAAAATTTTTTTTAAATAATTGAATTCTTTTGGAAAATTTTATTAAAATAGTAGATATTGAAAATCATTGAATTGGGGAAAATTTTTAAAAATAATTGCAATTTTGCAAAGATTTGTAGGTATTAAAATTTTTTAAAATAATTTAATTTCGGAGAAGAATTTTAAATGAAATAAATTTATATAAATTTAATTTCTAAATGATTTGTAATTTTTCTAAAATTCTCCAAATTATATCGTACAATTTACGAGCTTTTCGTCATTTTTCAATCAAATAACGGACTTTACGGACCTTTTTTTAATAAAACTGACTTTTATGGACTTTGAATCAAATTTACGGACCTTTACAGAATTTAAGGACCTAGTTCGAACCCGGAATTCCTAATAAATTTTTTTTTAGTAAATGTTTTAATCCGTATTTGGTTTTTTTCTCAGGAGGACTGCTGGCTTGTCACTTAAACACATGTTACGCGTACACCGTGAAAGATGGCATCTATCAAGGAAATCGAATGAATCTTGAGGGTCCATTCATGTCAGTGCGTTATGACGAGAAAAATAACAATTGTTTAGTTTCCTGTCGTTCAAATTCAAGACAGCAACATGTTCGTCATTACGTTTGTAGTGTGGACAGAAATGAGGAGGACGGTTTTCAGTGTAATGTAATTCACACATTTCATGCAGGCGATGCACAAAGAATTCTCTCAAGACCCTGTCACATGTATTTAGAAGACGATACATTAGTCGTTGCCAATAACGACAGTACGAGTAATGTTGTTCTCTGGAGTGTTTCAAGTGGAAAAGAAGTGCTAAAATTACCTGTACATAATTCCGTAGTAGACACTTGCTCTTTCGAATATTATAATAAGTACCTTGCTATTTTAACATTAGAAGACTTACACTTGTACTGTCATAAGGAGGATGTACATAATACAATACATTTGTAAATTAAACATCAAGCACAAATTCTATTTTTCATCATTCTCGAAGACGAATGTTTATTTCTATTGTTTTTTTTGTTTGCTTACGAAAATTTATTATTATTTACAAAATTAATGTATATAAAAAATATAATCTTGTAATATAAGAAATCATTTTTTATAAATACTTTTTGAAAATTAATTTCAAATTATTGTCATTATTTCATTGTGATGAATCAACTGACGATTCACTATTGGCTTCACTAACATTATCTTCATCCTGTGCCTCCCTCGCATCAATAGCATTCAGTTTGTTCTTAAATTGCTCGATGTATTTAACTAAACGTTTATCAATTTCTTGTACCTGAAATAAAAAAAAACAAGTTTGTAATAATATTTTAAATTCACTATGATTATTCAGGGTTGCCACAAAAAATTAATTTTTTTCCCTGATTCCCAGACAAAATTTTGACTTCTTCCCTGACCTTAAAGAATATCAATAACTTCTTTTCAAAAAAATATTTAATCACTAGCAAATGTTACGCGCGCGGTACGTGATATTCAATTTATTATTATTATTATGCAAATTACAAAATTTTTTATTTTCAAATTTAAATTTATACTTATTTAAAATTTATTTTTAAAAATCTAATATAATTCTTCGCAAGAATTCAATTATTTTTATAAATAGTAAAATTCTTCTCAGGAATTAAATTACTTTCAACACAATTTTAATAAAATTTCACGAAAGAATTCAATTATTTTCTAAAATTTGAATAAAATCATTAAAACAATTCAATTATTTTTTTTTAAATAGTAAAGTCTTTTGCAAATATTCAATTATTTTCAATTATTTTAATCTTTTCCTTCTCGTTTCTTTCTGGTTATTTAAAATCTTTTTTTCTGTAAAATTTCTTTAAAAATTTACTAATTTTCAAAACGTTTAATACTTGAAAAATATTTAAATATCTTCTTTAAAACTTAAGAAATTTCCATTATAATTCCAAAATTCAATTATTTAAAATTTAGTTAATCTCAAAAATTCAATTATTTCTAAAATTGTCTGTAAAATTTATTTTAAAAAGTATAAATTATTTTCAAAATTTTTAAGAATTCCCTGTAAAAAAACAGTAAATTATATTCTATACAATTTAGAAAATGATACAATTTGTTTTTAAATATTTAATTATGTCAATTTTTTTAATAAATTCTTAAAAAATTAAATTTCTTTTTATACAATTTAAAGAATAATTTTTCCTACAATTTCTTTAAAGAATTCAACTATAATCCAAAGTTTTTGTTAAATTCAATTAATTTTAATACAATTTTAATAAAATTTCAAGAAAGGATTTAATTTTAATTTTTTGAAAGAAGTTTCTATTATTTTTATTACAATTTTAACCGAATTCCTGAAAAAATGTAATTATTCTTGAAATTTTTATTAAAATTCGTTGAAAAATTCAATTATTATTTAAAAATTTGTTGATAAAATTAATTATGATAATTGAATTTTGAAAAACATTCATTTTAAATAATTGAATTCCAGTAGATTTTTCTAATAAAAATTGTTTTAGAAATGAATTTCAGTTAAAATGTTAGATAATAATTGAATATTAAAAGCATTATAGAATGAATTTTTAGAAATAATTACATTTTGAAAAAGTTCAATTGAATTTTCTTTTGAAATTATTTCAAGCTTTTATTTTCTAAATATTTAATTAAAGAATTTCTGAATAATCAAAATTTCGTAAAATTGAATTGTAAACAAAATGTATTTAAAAATTCTCTAGAAACTTTTGCAAAAATTACTAAAAATAATTGATAATTTTTCATTTATTTCTTTCGAACAATTTTAATGAAATTTTTGAAATTAATAACATTTTTCGAAAAATTGACTTATAATTGTTTTAAAAATAATTTGAAATCCTGTGACAAATTTTATTATTTAGGAAAATAATTGAAATTTTGCAACGAATTTTTAATACATTTTTTTTAAATAATTGAGATCCTGGGAAGAAAATTATTATTTATGAAAATAATTGAATTCTTGCAACGAATTTTATTACATTTCTTTTAAATAATTGAAATCCTGTGAAGAATTTTATTATTTATGAAAATAATTAAATTCTTGTATTGAATTTTATTAAATTTTTTGTAAAATATTTTTAATTCTTTTGAGAAATTTTATTAAAATAGTAGATATTGAAAATATTTTAATTTCAGCAAAAAATTTCATTATTTGTGAAATGTAATTGAATTCTTGCAAAAAGTGTTTCAAAATAATTACATTTTGCGAGGAATTCATTTAAAATTGTATTAAAAATAATTTAAATCCTAGGAAAAAATTTATTATTTATGATAATAATTGAATTCTTGCAACGAATTTTATTAAATTTCTATAAATAATTGATTTGATGTGAAAAATTGTACTACTTACAAAAACAATTCAATTCTTGAGAAGGATTTTATTAAAACTTTTATAAATAATTAAATATTTTTTCGAAAAATTTTAATTAATTTCTGAAGATTATTATTTAATATCAAATATATCACTGGATGTACGAATGTTTAAATTTATTTAATTCATTATTATTTTCCATTGTAATAAATATTTTCAAAAATTTTGAATTTCAATCCTTTTGAAATTTAATAACTTATTTAAGAATATTGTTACTGTAACACCTTCAAAATTATTTTTATCATTTCATTTATTTTTTTCTACAATTTTTAACTAAACTTATCCTTGCAATCAATTGTTTTTAAAATTAAAATTAAATTCTTATAAAGAATTTTATCAAACAAATTTTTAAATAATTGAAAATTATTTCGACTAATATTAATAAAATTTGGTTAAAATTGTATTAAAAATAATTGCAATTCTATGATGAGTTTTATTATTCATGAAAATAATTGAAACCCTGTAAAAAATTTGATTATTTATAAAAATAATTGAATTAATGCAAAAAAATTTATAAAAAAATTTGTGAATTCCTGTGAAATTTTTATTATATTCATGAAAATAATTGAATTTTGGAGAAGAATTTTATTATTTTTAAAGATAATTGAAATTTTGACAAGAGTTTTTTTAAATTGAACTTTGAATTTGATTTTTTTCAATTTAAAAAAATTCTTGTCAAAATTTCAATTATCTTAAAAAATAATAAAAATTTCTCATAAATTCAATTATTTTCATAAATAATAAAAATTTCACAGCAATTTAACTATTACAAATTTTTTCGGACAAACGTTTGTAACTTCCCTAAAATTCAATTTTTTAATTTTTTTTTAAACTCAAATTCTTCTATAAATCCATGATTTTTAATAACTAATTAAATATATATTAAAAAATTAAAGAAAACTCATTATGAATCCTGCAAATTTAATTTTTTCCAGTACTTTAAAATATGCATTCCTTACCTTTTCAATTGTGTTATCCAACGCTTCCTTCAAATTCTCCTTTAAAGATTCGATTTCCATCTTAACTTCCAGGAATTTCATGGACCTTATTAAAACAGATGGATCTATTTCGCAGTTTGGATTCAACACTTCGGAAAGAATTGTGAAGACAAGATCGTTGTGGACGTTGACAGATGAACGTTTATGAACTCCTTGTCTAGTGAGACTTAAAATAATCTCGCACACTTTCAGAGGGTCAATGGCTTGCAATGGACTTCTTTCGGGAGCATTCGCTAAAGTTTTTAGCGTTGGTAAAAACGCTTCTTCCAACATTGTTTGACTGTCGGGAACATGCACAGAAAAATTGTTGAAGAAGGCGCAGAGGCACTGTGTGAGATATGTGTTTCCCTCAGACAGTGGATTGTGCCAGAGAATTATCAAGCGCGCCAACAATCGTGGACTGTTGATTCTTCTGCAGAATAATAATTTTGTGAGACCCTCTGCTGCAGTGAAGCGCACGCTTGGATCCTAAAAATAAGAAATTGTACCTTTAGTTAATACAGGGTAGCCATCAAAAATTTATTTTCTTTTTCCCTGATTTCCAGACAAAATTTTGACTTTTTCCCTGACCCTGAAGAATATTTTGATTTTAAATAAATATTTAATCACGAAGAAATCGATCACTCCGAGTCTTAGACTCGGAGTAATCAATTCCTTCATGATTTATAATAAATTTGAGATAAAATCATTATTTTATACCATAAAAATATTGTAACTATAAATTCAAATTTTCCAAGATTTTAATTTGAACCCTTTTTAAAATTCAATTATTTCTAAAAATTCACACTATAATGCTTTTAATATTCAATTATAATTTAAAATTCTAACTAAAATTCATTTTTTTAACAATTTTTATTAGAAAATTTTTCCAGAATTTAATTAATTAAATACAAAAATAAATTGAAAAGAATTCAATTATTTTCAAAAAATAAAAAAATTCTTGTGATTAATTCAATTATTTTAAATATACTTAATTTTAATAAAATTCTTTAAAAAAATTTAATAATTACGAAACAACTTTAATTGAATTTCTCAAAAAAATTTCATTATTTTCAAATATTTCTATAAAATTCTTCATAACAATTTAATTATTTTTAAAAATTTTAATAAATTCTTCGAAACATTTCAATTACTTTTATAAATAGTAAAATTCTTTGCAATAATTCAATTATTTTTATAAATAGTAAAATCCTTTGCAGAAATTCAATTTTTTTTCAAAACAATTTTAATAGAATTCCTCGAACAATTCAATTATTTTAATAAATAGTAAAATTCTTCGCAAGAATTCATTTATTTTTAATTTTTTTTCAATTTTTATTAGAAAATTTTTCGAGAATTCAATTATTTAAATACAAAAATAAATAATTCATTAAATAAATGAATATTTCTTACATTTGCATTTTTATGAAGAATTTTATCAAAATTTTTCAAAATAATTGAATTCTTTAGGCGAATTTAAAAAAAAATTAAGAATAAATGCAATTTTCTATCATTTTATTTAAAATTGTACCAAAAAAAAAAAATTGAAATTCTGCGACAAGTTTTGTTATTTATGAAAATAATTAATTTCTTGTGAAGAATTTTAGGAAATTTTTTTACATAATTGAATTTCTCAGAATTTTTAAAAACTATTTGAAAATAATTGAATTCTATCGAGAAATTTCATTAAAAAATTGAAAATAATTGAAATCTGATGAAGAATTTTATTAAATTTTCTTTTTAAATAATTGAATAATTTTTCCTGTGAAAAATTTTATTTTTGAAAAGAATTGAATTCTTGGGAAGAATTTTATTAAAATACATTATAATAATCGTAAGTTCCTTTCCGTTAGCAAATTATCTGCATTCATTGGTTTGTTTTGAAAATTAAATTTTGTGGGTTAAGTATTGGCATTTTTTATTTTTTAATGTCAAACTTTTTAATGTGGAAAATACTTTACTTATTAAATTGTCTCGACTCTTTGGTAAAAAATCTAAAATTATCATAAATTCGAAAAAATTCAAAAATCCGATTTTCTTAAAATTCAACATTTTTTCTTCTCTTTTATGGGATTTAGCTTCATTATTTTTGTGCTTTTAGAAAATACTTTACTTATTAAATTGTCTCGACTCTTTGGTAAAAAATCTAAAATTATCGAAAATTATCAAAAATTCAAAAATCCGTTTTTCTTAAAATTCAACATTTTTTCTTCTCTTTTATGGGATTTAGCTTCATTATTTTTGTGCTTTTAGAAAATACTTTACTTATTGAATTGTCTCGACTCTTTGGTAAAAAATCTAAAATTATCGAAAATTATCAAAAATTCAAAAATCCGTTTCTCTTAAAATTCAACATTTTTTCCTCTCTTTTATGGGATTTAGCTTCATTATTTTTGTGCTTTTGGAAAATACTTTACTTATTTAATAGTCTCGACTCTTTGGTAAAAAATCTAAAATTATCAAAAATTTCAAAAATTTCAAAAATCCGTTTTTCTTAAAATTCAACATTTTTTCCTCTCTTTTATGGGATTTAGCTTCATTATTTTTGTGCTTTTGGAAAATACTTTACTTATTAAATTGTCTCGACTCTTTAGTAAAAAATCTAAAATTATCAAAAATTCGAAAAAATTCAAAAATCCGATTTTCTCAAAATTCAACATTTTTTCTTCTCTTTTATGGGATTTAGCTTCATTATTTTTGTGCTTTTGGAAAATACTTTACTTATTTAATAGTCTCGACTCTTTGGTAAAAAATCTAAAATTATCAAAAATTTGAAAAATTTCAAAAATCCGTTTTTCTTAAAATTCAACATTTTTTCCTCTCTTTTATGGGATTTAGCTTCATTATTTTTGTGCTTTTGGAAAATACTTTACTTATTAAATTGTCTCGAATCTTTGGTAAAAAATCTAAAATTATCAAAAATTTGAAAAATTTCAAAAATCCGTTTTTCTTAAAATTCAACATTTTTTCCTCTCTTTTATGGGATTTAGCTTCATTATTTTTGTGCTTTTGGAAAATACTTTACTTATTAAATTGTCTCGACTCTTTAGTAAAAAATCTAAAATTATCAAAAATTCGAAAAAATTCAAAAATCCGATTTTCTCAAAATTCAACATTTTTTCTTCTCTTTTATGGGATTTAGCTTCATTATTTTTGTGCTTTTGGAAAATACTTTACTTATTTAATAGTCTCGACTCTTTGGTAAAAAATCTAAAATTATCAAAAATTTGAAAAATTTCAAAAATCCGTTTTTCTTAAAATTCAACATTTTTTCCTCTCTTTTATGGGATTTAGCTTCATTATTTTTGTGCTTTTGGAAAATACTTTACTTATTTAATAGTCTCGACTCTTTGGTAAAAAATCTAAAATTATCAAAAATTTGAAAAATTTCAAAAATCCGTTTTTCTTAAAATTCAACATTTTTTCCTCTCTTTTATGGGATTTAGCTTCATTATTTTTGTGCTTTTGGAAATTACTTTACTTATTAAATTGTCTCGACTCTTTAGTAAAAAATCTAAAATTATCAAAAATTCGAAAAAATTCAAAAATCCGATTTTCTCAAAATTCAACATTTTTTCTTCTCTTTTATGGGATTTAGCTTCATTATTTTTGTGCTTTTAGAAAATACTTTACTTATTAAATTGTCTCGACTCTTTGGTAAAAAATCTAAAATTATCGAAAATTATCAAAAATTCAAAAATCCGTTTTTCTTAAAATTCAACATTTTTTCCTCTCTTTTATGGGATTTAGCTTCATTATTTTTGTGCTTTTGGAAAATACTTTACTTATTTAATAGTCTCCACCCTTTGGTAAAAAATCAAAAATTATTAAAAATTATCAAAAATCCGAAAAATCGAATTGCTTAAAATTCAACATTTTTTTTTGTCTTTTATGCCATTCAGCTTTATTATTATTTGAATTTTTATTCAAGAGAAAAAATGGAAAACTGAAAAAATTTAGAAACTTTTAAAAATTCCAGGCCTTTTCCATGATTTCCCTGATTTCCAGAAGCCTTTTAAAAATTCCATACCATTTTCATGATTTTCCAGATTCTGTAGGAACCCTGCTTTTGTCTGACTTTCTTCTAAATTATCGAATTCAGTGATTTCTGTGGTGAATTTGGTTAAGTTGTAAAATGATTAATTTCTATTTGAATTTGTTTTTTTTTAATGTAGAAAATCTGATGTTAATTTAATTCTTTTTTCGTTATGCACGGCAAAAAATATTTAGCTGGATGAACTACAGATTTCACTTTAGTAGCGAAATTTTTCAGTGCTTCAATTAATACTTTCGTTATTTTAGAGAAACTTATCGCTATTTCAATTAAAACTTTTTTCATTGTGTAATAATTATTATTTCTTTGAAAAGTATTTAATTTAAAATGGCTTTATAAAATAAGCAATGCAAAAGATGACCCAGATACTAATTGTAATTGTTCTAGCCATAGTTTAAGTCTAGTAATGTAAATTCTATTTAAATTGAGACCATTGAGTGAAATTATTTAAATTTTAGTTAGTTAAATCTCTTTGTTAGGTTATAATAATTATTTCTTTAAAATTTTTTAAATTGTTTAAAATAAGCAGCCCCATACAACATTCCCGCGCGCTTGCGCGCGGATAGTTTGGCTAGTTTCTTAAATAATTGAATTGCTTCGAAGAATTTTATTTTTCACAAAAATAATTTAATTGTTTCAAAGATTTTTATAAACATCTTTGACAATAATTGCATTCCTAGGAAGAATATGTTATATTTTACGAAAATAATTGTATTCTATGATAAATTTATTTATTAAAATTTTTCCAATTTATAAAGCATTTTATTAAAATTTTTTAAAATAATTGAATTCTCGAGAAAAATTTTATTATTTTTTTTTATGAAAATAATTGATTTCTTGATAAGAATTTTGTTGAATTTTTTTTTAAATAATTGAATTACCATTAAAAAATGTATTATTTGTAAAAATAATTGTATTCTTAAAAAGAAATGTATTGCAAATAATTGAATTGTACCTATAGGGAAATTTTATTAAAATTGCAATTTTATTAACTAAATTTTTCGAAATAATTGAATTTCTCAGAAGTATATTTTTCAATTCTCCGTATATTTTTTAATTCTTTCGAGAAGCTTCATTAAAAAATTAAAAATAATTGAATTAGTGCAAAAAAATTTATTGAAAATTGATAAGTAATTGAATTCTTGTGAAATTTTATTTAAATTATTTCAATTCTTTTGGAAAATTTTTGAAAATAATTGAAATTTTGACAAGAATTTTATTAAATTTTTGAATTTTTTAAAAAATTTAAATTAAAATCTTTGAACATGATTGTTTTCTTCAAAATGTTAAAAATAATTCTAAAAACTTTTTTATGTAATTATTTTTTGATGTATTTGAATTTTCAGAATTATTAAATTGAAAATTGTATTGAAAATAATTGAATTTAAAAAAATTAGAATGAAAAAATTTTAAGAATTACTTTTTCGAAAATATTTTAATACAACTTTTAAAAGACAATTTTCTTTGTTTTTCATTTTCAAATTTACATTTCAAGATTTTTCATTATAAGTAATTGTTAAGAATTGAATTATTTTTTTTGCAATTAAAATTCAAAAATTTTCAAAAATTGTAATAAAATACTGGAAAAAATCAATTATTTCCAATTAAATTTTACAAAATTTTTTAATTATATATTTTGAAATTAGAAAAATTATTAAAAATAATTTTTGAAAGATTCGTTATTCTTCGCGCTCTATAAAAATTGAAATAAGTTTCGTTCTATACTAAAACTATGGTTTTAGTTAAAATCGGAGGCTTGAAAAAGTCATTATTTTTTTTGTCTTCATAGCTTAAATTCTTGAAATGTATGAAAAATATTAAAAATACTTAACAGATTTCTTTCTTTTTTCATTTTTTATCCGACAAAAAAAGTTTGAACAAAATTGGTTCAGAATTATTGGAGCTATTTGATTTTGTCTAAAAACAGTCAATATTTTGAAAATTTATATTGAATCGAATTATAAAGAACTGTCCCATAAGAAAAACTTACTTCATGATCCAAGAATCCGGTTATTATTTTAATAAATTTGTCTCCTCCCTGTTCAATGTCAAAACGTTCAACATTTACGGACGAAACTTCATCGCTTTCCGTATACAATCTCACAGTTCTGTTCCGTTTACTTTTGTCATTGGCATCAATTTCGTCGTCCGCCTGAACAATGTCAAAGAACTCCAAGCCATAGCGCAAGAGCAAATCGAAAATTGCCTTGAGCGCAGTAATCCACATTCTATAATCATCTGGAAATTCAGTGAACGGGAGAAAGAACATTGTGAAGTACTTCTTGGCCAATTCTCCATCCAGTAGGCAGCAAATAACAATTGACTTCAGTTCCAATTCGTGTATAGACACATCTTGATGCTAAAAAGAAAATTCCATTAATATAGAGAATAAATTTTTCACTTGCAAAAAATCGAATGATGATTAATCTTACTCCCAAGTTTTCAATAACAATATGATCCAGTATACTTCTCAAGGTTGGATGTAATGTCTTAATGGAAGGACTTTGCATACTTGAGCACATTATTTCTAAACATATCGTCATTGTGTGAGAGTCATTTTTCAATGGTTCCTCTCCAACATCTTCCGTGACCGTTGGAAGTTCAAGTTCCTCTGTTATTTGATGAATTTCAGCAGTTATTCGCTCTATCTGCACTTTCAATTCCTCGGCTCTTAGGTAGTTTTTGTTCTGAATTTCGTTATATTGGTCTTCTTTTAATTCCAATAGTGTTACTTTTAACTTCGCTTTCTGAAAAAAGAAAAATCTTTCATTTTTCTTCGATTCGAAATAATTTTTCGCATTCACAATTACGAAAAATTAAAATATTTGAAAATATTTTATAATTTATAAATTTATACAATTGGAAGTGGAATTGAAACAAGTCAGAGAATTATATAAAAAAAACTGGAAAAATATTCACTCTTCAACGCAACAGCCTTTTTAAAAAAAATATTCAATTTAACTTTAAATTCTTTCCATATTTCTAACAATAATTGGACTTTACAGATTTGAAATTGAATTTATTTTTAATAATTTAATTCTTGACAAATTATCAAAAAATTATTATTTATAAATTACAGATTTCGCACTCAATAATTAATTTTAAAAAAGTGGCAGAAAGTAGCTTTCAAACTAAAAAAAGTAGTAAAAAAAGTAGCTATCGAAAAACTAAACTTGACGACCAAAAAACTCGTTTTTGACACTTTACAAAACTAACAAAAATTCCATTTCATATTTTTTATTTTCCTGACATTTTCCTAATTTTCATCATAAATATTTAATACTTTCTTATCCTGCTAATTCTAAATTCAATTCCTGCAACGAATTTTATTATTCATGAAAGAATTCAAATATTTATAAAAATAATTTAATTCTTGCTAAGAATTTTATAAAATTTTTTAAATAATTGATTATCAAAACTCAGTATTAGAAACATTTTTTTGTGTTTCTTTAGAGTGACTTAAAATATTACTTAAAGTCAGAAAAAAAGTGAAAATTCTAACTCTAAAAATCCGGGCGAATTCGGGGGAAAATAAAATAAAATTTTCTATGCCAGCTCTGGACAAACTTACCAGCATATTCTTATCGTTCGCCTGGGTTGACGTTAATTGACAAACTTGTTGCGTTTGAGTTTGTTTCGACGGCCTTCGCAATTCATTGATAACTTCCACCAAAGCCGTGAGTCTTCTGTCAACATCCGGAATAACTTGATCAAAATATTCAACAATACACTGAACAATTTTATCTGAACAAATTTCATGCATCAATGTATCGACCATTATTGATCGTAAATTTTCCCTTCCACACTCATCCGACAGATCGTAAATTTTCGACATTTCGAACAATTGACAAAGCATAAATTGATACATTGTTTTCTCCCACGATTCCAATTGCTTCGAATCGATGAGTGCCAATAATTCTCTAATAAATGTACAAAATTGCGAAAGTTCTGGAACTATTTCCTCCAAATCCTCGGTACAACCTTCTCGTTTTAAATGCTCCGCTACACACCGCCAGAAGAGTACATTCTCACAAGTTATTTTATCCAACGGTATTAGCCGTGTTTGCACTTCCACTGGTAATTGCTCCAGCAAGGTCTTAATTTCGGAAGTTCTGAAAAATAAAAAAAAATACTTTAGCATCTGAAAATTATAAATTCACTAACTTTTAGAAATATTAGTGGCAGAGCTGTTAAAAATCATGATTTTTTTATTCAAATCAAATTTTTCTGGAGCTTGTTTTTTTATGAATGATAATAAAAAATTAATTTTATAATAGAAGCAACAAAGAAAAGCTACTTTTCTTTTTCTTAAGAAATTATTTAAGCAAAAATATTGAAAAAATAAATGACTGACCTATGTTTAATTTAATTTATATTTAATAAGAAATATTAGTTTTTTTATAAGTATTATTTTTTGAATTTGAAATTTTAAACTGCTTTAAATATTGATTTCCAGACAAAATTTAGAATTTTTTCCTAACCCTGAAGAATACTCTGATTCACTCTAAAAATGATTAGATACCTACTAAAAAAAAATATTCTAATACATTTATTTTCGAATTTCTTTAATTGTAAAATTATTCGAAAACAACAATAGTTTTATTCAAAATAAATATTTAATCATTATTTTTCCATAGGAATTCAAATTCTTCAAAACATTCAAATTTAAACCTTTTTGAAACACATTAACTTATCAGAATATTTTTACTGTAACTTCTTCAAATTATTTTCATCATTTTAATTCAATTATTATTTTCTAGAATTTTTAAGTAAAATTCTTCTCTAAATATTATTTTTTAAAATTTTCAAGTCCACTTGTTTACAATTTAATTTTACAAAATTTGGATTATTCGGAAATTCTTCAATTAAATACATATTAGAAAATAAAAACTTAAAATAATTTCAACAAAAATTAAAGAATATTTTTTTCAGAAAAATTAATATTCCACAGAATTGTTAATTAAAATTATGAAAAATTCAGATTTTCAAAGATTTTAATTTGAAACTTTTTCAAAATTCAATTATTTCTAGAATTTCATGGTATAATACTTTTAATATCCAATTATCTAAAATTTTAACTGAAATTCATTTCTAAATCAAATTATTATTTAAAAACAAAAATAAGCAATTTATTGAATAATTTTATTTATTCAATAATTTATTGAATAATATTTTTCTTAAAATTGAATTCTTTCGAAGAATTTTAATAAAAAATTTTAAGAACAATTGCATTTTTGAGCAATTTAATTAAAATTGTATTAAAAATAATTCTATTTTAAATAATTGAGTTCCTGTAATATTTTTATTATTTATGGAAATAATTGTATGTTTGCGAAGAATTTTATCAAAATTTTTTTTAAAGAATTGAATTCGTATGGCAAGTTCTTAAAAAAATAGATATTAAAATCATCGAATTTAGAAAAATTTTTTTAAATAATTCAATTTCGACGAAAAATCTATGTTATTTAAAATTTCTAATTAAATTCATTCAAAATTGAAATTTTATAAAATTTCAAATTGAAACCTTTACATTTTACAAAATTCATTTATTTCTAAAAATTCATGCTATAATGCTTGTAATATTCAATTCTTATCTAAAATTTTAATTGAAATTCATTTTTAAATCAATTTTTATTAGAAAATTCTACGAGACTTTAATTATTTAAAAAGAATTCTATTATAACTTTTGAAAATAATTGAATTTTGGAGAAGAATTTTAATATTTTTCAAAATAATTGAAATTTTGGCAAGAATTTTATTAAAACTTTTGATAATAATTGAATTTCAGAGAAGAATTTTATTGTTTTCAAAAATAATTGAAATTTTGACAAAAATTTCAATAAAAGTTTTGAAAATAATTGAATTTCGGAGAATTTTATTATTTTTAAAAATAATTGAAATTTTTACAAGAATTTTAGTAAAAATTTTGAAAATAATTGAATTTTTGGAGAAGAATTTTAATATTTTTAAAAATAATTGAAATTTTTACAAGAATTTTAGTAAAAATTTTTTTAAATAATTGAATTTTGGAGAAATATTTTAATATTTTTAAAAATAATTGGAATTTTGACAAGAATTTTATTAAAACTTTTGATAATAATTGAATTTCAGAGAAGAATTTTATTGTTTTCAAAAATAATTGAAATTTTGACAAAAATTCCAATAAAAGTTTTGAAAATAATTGAATTTCAGAGAAGAATTTTATTGTTTTCAAAAATAATTGAAATTTTGACAAAAATTTCAATAAAAGTTTTGAAAATAATTGAATTTCGGAGAAGAATTTTAATATTTTTAAAAATAATTGAAATTTTTACAAGAATTTTAGTAAAAATTTTTTTAAATAATTGAATTTTGGAGAAAAATTTTAATATTTTTAAAAATAATTGGAATTTTGACAAGAATTTTATTAGAAGATTTGAAAATAATTGAATTTCGGAGAAGAATTTTATTGTTTTCAAAAATAATTGAAATTTTGACAAAAATTCCAATAAAAGTTTTAAAAATAATTGAATTTCGGAGAATTTTATTATTTTTAAAAATAATTGAAATTTTGACAAGAATTTTAGTAAAAATTGGATTTTGGAGAAGAATTTTGTTTTGTATGAAAAATTTAAATTTTCAAAGATTTTAATTTGAAACTTTTTCAAAATTAAATTATTTAAAAAAATTCATTTTCTAATGCTTTTAATATTTATTTATAATCTAAAATTTTAACTTAAATTTTTTTAACTTCAATCTTGATTTTTTTTATTAAATTAATAAAAATCTTACTCAAGTAGACTCTTTAGAGTTAAAACTGCCGACTCCATTCCTTTGATATTCATTCCAGGATCCAAGGCACGTAGCAATGCAAGAAAATCGCCGTTATAATTTCGCAACCACGAGTCGATCAATTCCTTCTTGACGCAGTTCTTAACAATGTCACTTTGATCCCTGAGGCCATCGTTAAGTAATTCCTCTCTTTGCTTTATACTCAGCGACTTCACAGAGACTTTACAGAGAAATTGATAAGCAGCCTTCCGCACTAGATCGTTGATGTCTCTCGTTCTCCTCAGAACACAAAGTAGCGTCCTCTGAGTCCTGGCCATACAGGACAAAATAGTTCTGCGAACCTCACTGCTCGGATCTTTGGCCAAATGAAACATGTACACTTTCATGACCCGACAATCATCATCCGTTGGATCCTGAAGTCTCTGCAGTGCGAGAATAGCTTGTGCCCGAACCTTGGACGATCTGTCGAGTACTCGATCCAACATTGTGGTAATAATTTTGTCACAAAGAATATCATCGATGTAAGCATCGTCGCCCATTGCCGTTAGGAGCATATTTAAAAAATAACAAACACGAAATCTCACACCGGGATCAACGGCAATTTGTGATTTCATTAGAAAGTCAAATATTTTCAACATGAAAGGATCCATTTGCTCGCTATTGTCCACATCCTCATAAGATTGAAATCCAACAGCAAAATTTGCGGCAAATATTAATGAATTCTCAACGACTGGATGCTTATCTGCATAAGATAGAGGAACCACGAGGCATGCTATAAATTCTTCAGCGAATTCGTCAAGAGTCGTCTGTAAATGAAAGTGAAAATTTTCAATTTACAAATATAGGCTTCACAGTGGCCCTAAAAATTATTTTAGGGAAAATAGGGGACTGAAAATTGAAAAATAGGAAACTTTTAGGGGACCATAAAAATTAGTTAAATAAAGATAAGAATAAAATTTATTTATACAGGGTTACCACAAAAATTTAACTTTATTTTTCCCTGACTTTTTCCCTGATTTCCAAACAAAACTTTCACTTTTTCCCTGACCCTAAAAAATATTCTGATTCATTCTCAAAATTATTAGATACTCAACAAAATGTTCTATTAAATTTATTTACAAATTTCTTCAAAAGTAAAATTATTCGAAAACATCAATAACTTCATTTTTAAATAAATATTTAATCGATAGGAATTCAAATTCTCCAAAACATTCAAATTTAAATATTTTTGAAATTCAACAACTTATAAGAATGTTTTATAATAATTCAAAATTATTTTCATTTCACTTCGATTATTTTCCAGAATTTTTTATTAAAACTCTTTTTCAAGTCAATTATTTTTAATACTAAAAGGAAGAGAATTTCTTTCAATTATTTTTAATAATTTTTGAAAAAGTTCTTTGAGAATTTTCAAATCTATCTGTTAACAATTCAATTTTCAATTTTACTCTTAAAATTTTTGAGAATAATTGAATGTCTGTGTGCCATTTTATTGAATTTTTTAAAAAATAATTAAATTCCTAAAAAGTATTTTATTATATTTATGAAAATAATTGAGTTTTGCAAAGAATTTTATTAAAATGCCTCAAAATAATTGCATTTCCGAAAATTCAATTATTCATCTTTCGAAGAATTATTTATGTAAATAATTTAAGTCTTGGGAATAATTTTATTAACATCTAAAAGAATAATTGAATTATTTCATAAAAATTGAATTAAAATAGTGTTTAAAATAATTGATTTCTTTCGAACAATTTTATTAAAATATTTATTGAAAATAATTGAATTCCTGTGAAAAATTCTAATATTTTTGCAAATAATTGAATTCTTGCAAAAAATTAAAAAAAAAAAATTTTTTAAATAATTGATTTTTTCGAGGAATTGAAATTAAATTTGTAATAATAATTACATTTTTTGAGCAATTCCTGTAAAATTGTATTAAAAATAATTGAAACCCTGCGATGAATTTTATTATTTTTGAAAATAATTGCATAGTTGCTAAGAATTTTATTAAAATTTTCAAAAATAATTCAATTCCTGAGAAGGATTTTATTATTTATGAAAATAATTGAATTTTTACTTAGAATTTTATCAAAAAAATTTTGTAATAAATTGAATTTCCATGAAAAATGTTATTATTAGTAACAGTAATTGAATTATTGGGAAGAATTGTATAAAAATTTTGTTAAATAATTGATTGTTTTGAAATTTTTTTTAAAAATGAAAATTTGAACACTATACTTTTGAAACAATTACTGTTTTAATACTTTTACTTATTTATCTTGATAAAATGCATGTTTCTTGTATAATTATGAAATTGGCGCTTTACTCCGCTTTTTTCATGTCAACTTTCACATTAAATAAAATAATTCATATTTTGTAAACAATGTGTATTTACGGGGAAAGAGATAAAATTGAAATAATTCTTAGGAATAATGCTTATTTTAGAAATTTTATATATGAATACTGATAAAATGAATTTTGATAGTTTTTAAAGCAATATAACCTATAAATTAGAAAAATACCTTTGCATAGCAAGCCTTCAGCTTTTCTCCAACACTTTTGTGACATGTTTTACTAGTTTGCGCTTTATTGAATAAATCGCGAATGCAATTTCTCAGACTTTGATGCATTTTTTTAAAAATTATATGGTTACAATAGTTTTGCAACTGTCAAATATTTAAATTTTCCACTCGTCCATGTATGCACTGAACGTAAACAACGCTTTGTTTACCGCCTCAAGTTCACCGCCACTTTTGTGATTAAGGTTGACTCTACAATTGTCAGGATTGGGCAGTTATTATTAAAGTTGTTGGTTCTACATTGGATACGCAAACGTGGACGTCACCCGTTTGATGCTCTTTCCACACCTGGTAGTGCGGACAAAATTTTACCCAGCTTGTAGATACGGAAGCGCCTATACGCCACTGTAACCGAATCGCGTATGTGTGCATAAAGTAAGGTACAAATACAAGAATTGCGTGCGAGGGACCCCCTTAGGCTAGCTGAAATTCCCTAGAATAGAATTAATTGCGAGCGAGCCTACCCCTTAGGCTAGCTAAAATTCGTTAAAATTAAACGACTGTGTGAAAAGGAGGTTATGTTTTCTTTCCTGAAACATTAATTAAAATTAATTTTTTTAAACATTTCTTTTTCACAAATTGAAAAAAAGAAATCTTGTGAGGTAATAAGTTAAATTTATTTGGAAAAAAAGTAAAATAATTTTGAAGTTAAATTGATAATGTGTCTACAATTATTCTGATCCATTTTACAAAAAGAAAATTAGTTGTGTTATTTATGGGAAATTTTAAACATGAAATATTTATATTTTTTTAATATATACATACAAATATGTAAGTTAAAACAAAATCGAATTTTAAAAAACAGACCATTGTAGAAACTATTTAATAAGAGTTGAAAAATTATTAATAAATTAATTAAACATAACTTTTTTACAGAGCTAACAATTATCAATTTAACCTCAAAATTATTTTACTTTTTTCCAAATAAATTTAACTTATTACCTCACAAGATTTCTTTTTTTCAATTTGTGAAAAAGAAATGTTTAAAAAAATTAATTTTAATTAATGTTTCAGGAAAGAAAACATAACCTCCTTTTCACACAGTCGTTTAATTTTAACGAATTTTAGCTAGCCTAAGGGGTAGGCTCGCTCGCAATTAATTCTATTCTAGGGAATTTCAGCTAGCCTAAGGGGGTCCCTCGCACGCAATTCTTGTATTTGTACCTTACTTTATGCACACATACGCGATTCGGTTACAGTGGCGTATAGGCGCTTCCGTAAGAGTAAGGGAGAAGTTTGAAGTCACTGACTCTCTTAGTCTTGTACGTTACCATGACAACCTGCAGGCAGGCAGGCTGCCTGCAGAGGTGTAACAGCAGCCTAATGCTATATGACTATCTCTCTCGCACTCATTGTTTTCTGCTTTCGGTTTTTTACGCTTTAGAGTACGTTCACACGACTTTTGGAAAAACCATTCTTGTCTTTCTCTCTTCTATGACAGAGGCATAAGTTTGTCTCACTCTGCATTTTCAGTTTTTGGAAAAGTAAAAAAATGTATGCCTTTGACATAGGAGAGAGAAAGACAAGACGGTTTTTCCAATAGTCGTGTGAACGTACTCTTAGGCCTAAGCAGAACTGCTTCGCGAAAGCATGAGTTAGAAAAGGACAGAGATATATTTTATCTCGTTCGCGAACGATTTTCGCAAAGCTATTGTGCGTTAATCTTTTCTGCTGACATGGCAAAGAAATGTAAAGATAATTGTTGTAGAAAGCCTCTAAAAATGGAAGTAAATTATCCAACATTGCTTAAAAACACTAGTGAACATATTGAAAATTTTTAACAATTTTTGAAAAACACACTTGGAAAAAAATTATTTGTTTATTTATTTCTACAAAACTATATAATTAATTTGTTTCTGATATTCAAATAAAATGAAATGCACAGTTTTCCCCTCGTTTCTTATATTTAAAATTGCGCGGTTATTTCCCAGCCAATCATTGCGCATGCGCAAAACCAAGGAGGCGAACTTTTAATGTTTTTGCGAACGCAAATAGGTTGGACACGTTAGTTTTTAGGAATACGTAACTGGATGTTTCTCCTGTCCTGAAACATGGCTGGCTCAGTTTATTGTAGTGAAATTTTGTGTATAAAAAGATATTAAAAAGAAACTGCTGCTACCTTTTTCATCAGTTTTCAAACATTTCATTTACAGAGACAAAGATGACTTCAATACATTTTGTTGTTCATCCATTGCCTGGAACGGATGATCAATTAAACGAACGGTATGTAGAAAAATTCTCTGCACTACACTTCCAATAAGCTAACATGACTTACATGAAATGCATAGAGAAATGAATTTGATTAATTTCCACTCTGATATTTTTAATTCTTTAACAATCATTTTCAAGTATTCATGACTAGAAATTAGTGAATTTGATTCATTATTGTAGAATTTTATTTGCATTTCCTATATTCTAAATAGGAAACACAATACACAAGGCTTTTCCAGTTTTCCTGTGATGCAATGACTTCATCTTTAATGATTAGCATTAACTATATAGGAATTGTTAACCCGCTAGAAATTCCAATCAATTTTCATTTCATTTGATTTTATTTTCGTACTGCTCTTTTTTTTGTGATGATTTTTTTTCATTTTCTCACCGGCTATAGTTAGACACGTGAAAAATATATGTATAAAAAAGAAGTGGAAAAATTATTAGACTGCTTGCCTATATACTGCTTTTAGATTGATTGAAATTTTTTTTTTGTATTTTTCATAAATTTTAGACTTTATTTATCAATCGAATATTGTTTTTATTTTGAAACTGATTTTTTGTTGTTGTTTCTCAAGTATCATTTATTATATAGATGGAGCGCAATGATTAAAAGATATATTAATTTTATAAGATATATATTTTTTTCCGAATTCTAACCTGACAGCTTTCAAGTAATTATTATTTTTTTTTATATTCAAAGTTTCTAATAATCTGAATATTTATTATCGAGTTTGAGTTCAATCAAGATAAATGTGAACTCTACACGTTTAGAGTGTATATGATGTTCTTACTCCATTTTGTCAAACTTACACGTAATATAATTCAATTTTTTTCTTAATTATCTCACTTTACTTGCAATGCACGTTTATTTTAAAATTAAAACTTTCGTAAAGAATTACTTTCATTTATTTTTATTTTATTTATTTATTAAAAAAAATGTAAGGAATTATTAATTTTATATTTAATAAATTATTTATTTTTTATTTATTTATTTAGAAAATCACTTATTATTAGTGTATTATTTCTATACTTATAATTATTAATCTTCATTTCTTTACTTTCAATGTTCGTTTATTACGAAATTAAAATTTTCCAAAATAATTATTTTGATTCATTTTTATTTATGCAAAAAATGTAATTATTAATTTCATATTTATTACTATAATTATTAGAATTTAGTTTACATATTTATATTTAGTAAATGTTTATTTCCTTATACTTTCAATGAATGTTTATTTTAAAATTAAAACTTTCCAAAAGAATTTAGTTTTTTCAATTTCTGACAATAATTTCTTTTTAAATAAATTAATTTTTGAAAAACTATCACAAAATTATTACTTATTAATTATTAATAATTATTATTATTAATATTATTAATATTATTATTATTATTAATTATTACTTATTTAATGAAAACTTTTACTTCAATATTTCAAAATTAATTCAATTTTAAATGAGTTGCTTTTTCAATTTTCATAGCAGAAGGTTTCAATATAGAATTTTAGAAAATTTCAATTTTTAATAAATTTAATTAGAAATTTTAAGAACTTAGTTTTTCGAACAATTTTAATAACTCAAATTCTTCTGAAACTAGTTACATTTTTGAATATGTATTTAATATTATAAATAATGAGTTTATAGAAGAATTTTAATTAAAAACACTATAAAAAGAATTGAATTTTAGAGAAATTACAAATTCTTTCAGAAATTCAATTATTTTCAAAAGTAATAAAATTCTTCTCAGAAATTCAATTATATTCAAAAAATTTTTTTAAATTCTTGGCAAAAATTCAATTATTTTGAAAAATGTTCCTCAATTTAATGATTTTCAATATCTATTTTAAAATTTTCCAAAAATTGAATTATTTAAAAAAAAATTTGATTAAGTTTTGCGCAAAAATTTAATTATTTTCATAAATAATAAAAATTTCACATAAATTCAATTATTTATTAATTTTTTTTTGAATTTCACAATAATTCAATTATTTTCATAAATAATAAAAATTTCCCAGAAATTCAATTATTTATAAATTTTTTATAAATTTCTTCACAATAATTCAAATATTTTTATAAAGAATAAAATTTTGTTCAAGAATTCAATTATTTTTATAAATAATAAAATTCTTTTTAAAAAAATTCAATTATTTTTATAAATAATAAAACTCATCGCAGAATTTCAATTATTTTTAATTCAATTTTAATCATAGTTCTTGAAAAATGTTATTTTTATTAAAAATCAAATTTTTATTAAAATTCGTCGAAAGAATTGAATTATTTGAAAAAAAGGTTGATAAAATTCTTTACCAGAGTTCAATTTAAAAAAAAAAATTATTAAAATTCGTCGTAAGAATTCAATTACAATTTTAAAAAAAAATGTTGATAAATTTCCTCATTAGAATCCAATTTTAAGAAATATTCTAATAAAAATTAATTTAAAAATGAATTTCAGTTAAAATTTTTAGATAACAAATTAAAGCGTTAATTGTTAGAAATAATTGAATTTTGAAAAGGTTTCAAATTAAAATCTTTGAAAATTTGAATTTTCTTATACTTGTAACTGACAATTCTGTAGAATTAATTTTGCTTAATGTTTAATTGAATTTTTTTGAAATTTTATTGAAGTTTTTATTTTCTAATATTTAATCGAAAAATTTCCAAATAATCGAAATTTCGTAAAATTGAATTATTAACAAATGGATTTGAAAATTCTCAAAGAACTTTTTCAAAAAATTATTAAAAATAATAAAAAGAAATTCCCTTCATTTTATTATTAAAAATAATTGAATTAAAAAAGAATTTTAATTAAAAATTCTAGAAAATAATCGAAGTGAAATGAAAATAATTTTGAATTATTATAAAACATTCTTATAAGTTGTTAATTTTCAAAAAGATTTAAATTTTAATATTTTGGAGAATTTGAATTCCTATCGAAAAGCAATAATGATTAAATATTTATTTAAAAATAAAATTATTGATGTTTTCGAATAATTTTACTTTTGAAGAAATTTGTAAATAAATTTAATAGAACTTTTTTTTGAGTATCTAATAATTTTCAGAATGAATCAGAATATTCTTTAGAGTCAGGAAAATAGTCAAAAGAATTAATTTTTATTTGTTAAAAAATGTACCAAATTATGAAACGTTTTTAATCAATTTTAGCATTTTTTTTAATTACAATAATATCTGATTTGTGCAAATTTTTTTTAATTTTTCGCACTTTTAGTTAAAATTTGCGGTTACATTTGTCTTAAGAATGATTTGTAAAAAAATTTATTAAGTTTTTTAAAAAATGTACATTTCTATAATAATTTTTCCTAAATTAACAGATACGTGTTACAAATTGAAGGCAATGAATCATTAACTTTATTTTTAGCCTTATTAGCATTGAATATAATCATTAATAAGGAATTTGGAGAACATAGAGATAATAAACTTGTTTTAATATGTGGAAAAGAAGTTTTCCTAAAAGAAAGAAAATTTGTTGTACTTACTGGGAAATTTAATTCGCATTAATTTGATAATAAAATGTTAATTTTATATTAAACTATTTCTGTTAAAAATTAAAATTTATTAATGAGGAATTTTTGAAATTTAAAGCCAAACGAATTTTTTGATTTCAGATTGAAAGAAGTGTCGGAGAAAATAAACAGATATGGATTTGTAACATCACCAGCGCTTAACGGTCTTAAAACCTCCGTTAAACGACTAGTTGTAGGACCTACACATATTGCACTTCTTATGGAGGACAATAGAATTTGTCGAGTTGCATTCACAGTCCTTTACGATAGATTGGATTTACGAAAAAATGAACCGAACAGAAGGTATTATTACTCTGAATAATTAATAATATTTTTCTTTCAGTTTTTCTTTCAAAATTTATTCGTTCAGAAAACGAATTTTCTCTCCATCGTAGTCTTTTTGCATTTTTTGATTTTTAAAAATGTTTCTTTCTCACTTGGGAAAGTATTATTTTCTTCTAATATGCTTTTATAATCGAACGACCGAGAAAAAAAATTTGCTGAGTGCTCGGTTGTTAAACGTTCTGTACAACGTTGACTTAAAATCAAAACAAAGATTACTTTTTATAAAAAAAAAAATATTACCTTGTGTAGTAAAATGAAAACAAAAATGCGTGACTTTGGGTCGGTATCATTTTGGCAGATAAGTTTTTGTGAAGATTGATATGGCGAACAACTGGAGATATCATTTTGTTTAACTGGTGAAATACCACATTTTTTAGTATAAAAATTCAACTTATTTCGATTTTTATAGCGTGAAAAATAACTAACGACAAATCTTTCAGAAATTATTTTTGAATTATTTTTCTAATTAAATTTTCGAAATTTACAATTAATAAAACAGATTTTGAAGAATTTAAATTTTGTAAAATTTAATTAAAAATAATTGCTTTTTTTCAAGAATTTTATTAAATTTTATCAAAATCAACTTTCGAAGAATTTTAATTTTTAAATTTTGAAAATAATTTAATTCTAAAAAGTTTTAAAGAAAAATTTTCAAGTGTAAATTTAAAAATGAAAATCAATAAAAATTATATTGAAACTACTAGCAAATGTTACGCGCGGAACGTGATATTCAATTTTTTATTATTATTATGCAAATTACAAAATTTTTTATTTTCAAATATGAATTTTTGAATAATTTCAGATTCAAACTTTAAAAAAATTCAATTATTAACTAATTTACTAATTAACTATTCTTGTTTATTAATTTCAAAAATTTTAATAAAATTCTTCACTCGAATTCAATAATTTTTATAAATAATAACATTCTTCGTAAGAATTCAATTATTTTTTTGAAAAGTAAAATCTTTGGAAAAATTTAATTATTTTCAAAAAAATTTCACGAAAGAATTCAATTATTTCCTAAAATTTTAATAAATGAATCGAAACAATTCAATGTTGTTTATAAATAGTAAAATTCTTTGCAAAAATTCCATTATTTACAATTTTAATAATATTTCATGAAAGAATTCAATTTAAAAAAAAATTTTTACTAATATTTTTTGAACAAATTTTATTTTATTTAAAAAATAGTAGAATTCTTTGCAAAAATGCAATTATTTTTAATACAATTTTAATACATAACATATTTTATAAAGGAATTCAATTTTAAAAAATTTTTAATAATATTTTTCGAAAAAGTTCAATTATTTTCTAAAATTCTTTGCAAAAATTCAATTATTTTTAATACAATTTTAACAAAATTTCATAAACGAATTCAATTTTTTTTTAATTTTTAATATTTTTCGAAAAATTTAATTATTTTTTAAAATACTTTGCAAATTTCAATTATTTTTAATACAATTTTAACAAAATTTCATAAACGAATTCAATTTAAAAAAAATGTTTAATAATATTTTTCAAAAAAATTCAATTATTTTCTAAAATTTTAATAAAACATTTAGAAACAATTTATAAATAGTAAAATTCTTTGCAAAAATTCAATTATTTTCAAAAAAAATTCCACGAAAGAATACATTTTTTTCAACGATTAATTCATTATAAAATTTTTTAAAAGAATTCAATTATTTTCTAAAATTTTAATAAAATTCAATAATTAAATGTTTAATTTCGGTTTTTAACAACAAACACGATTATTTTAAAAACCTAAATGAAATTGTTCATAAAATTCAATTTTTTTCAAAATTTTTAATTAAAATTATTAAAGAAACTCCATATTTAAAAAAAAATTCAACGAAGTTCTTTAAAAAGAATTTTCAAAAATTTTAACAAAATTCTTCGCGAGAATTCAATAATTATTTTCCTAAAAAATAAAATTCTTAGAAGAAGTCCTATTATTATCAAATTTTTTTATAAAATTCTTACTTTGCAACAATTCCATGAATTTCAATACAATAATTTTAAAATTAAAAATATTTAAAAAGAAAAATTATTAAAAAAAGTTAAGAAACAAAAAAGCAAATAACTAACTTTTCAAAAAATTTCTTTACAATATTTTTAAGAAACTAATTCTTATAATTGTCTTATCTTAATTTTTCAAGATTCAATTATTTTCGAACAAAGTAAATTGAAATTTTTTAAAATTTACTTTTTTAGATTTATTAAAATTTCGGAGAAGTCATTTTATATTTATAAATAAAATTCTTCGAAAATTCTATTATTTTTTTTTATATTTTTCAATAATTCAATTATTTTGAAAAGATTTTACCAAAGTTCAATTATTTGGAAATTTTTCAATTGTAAAGTTGAAAAAAAAACTATTATCGCTCAAAAATTATTTTCAAATGTTTTAAAACAATTAATTTTAAAAATTTCTTTATTATAATTTCTTAAAAGTATTGTACCTTAATAACTTTGAAAAAACATGGACGGTTACAAGTTTAATTATTATAAAAACTTGAATTTTTGTATTTAAATAATTGGAAGAACTTTAGGAGAATTATTAAAAATAATTGATTTATAGATGAAGTTTAGTTAAAAATTGTAGAAAATAATTAATATTATAAACTAATGAAAATAATTAAATTTTGGAAGGATTTTAGTTGTAATTTTTAGAAATTATTAAATTTCACAGAAGTATTAAAATTGAAATTTTTAAAATTTTACTTCCCGTAGAAAAAGAAGTAGAAAGTATTTAAATATTTATTGAACAATATTATTCAAGTCTTGAATAATTGAATTTTGAAATCACGAAAAGGTCATGGAAATTTTTGAGACAATACTGAATTTTATATAAACGACATTTTCGACTTTTTTTTTATTTTTAAAAAAGAAAAAAAAAAGAAAAAACTAAAGCGACTTTTTATGCGCCCTAATTTTGATCCGAGGCCTCTTTTACCTAAAAATATAATTGAAATTTTAAACCAAAATATAATAAATATTTTCTTATTATTTGTTCGTTTTTAAAAACGTTTCGAACTTCAGCTTCATATTAAAAGTGGCATTAGCTTCACTACTTAATTTTTTTTAATTAATTCGCATAATTAGTTGTATAATATGAGACATAAAACAATGAAAATTATTTGGATGATCCAGAAGGTATATAATTATAAATTTATCAATGATAATAGTGTGGGACAGTTACTAAAATTGTGTGACAATTTAAAGTACAGAAACATATCCGCATATAGGAATTTGGATGTAATTTTGGGTATATTTAGTTGTTATCTTAAGGTGGTGTATAGTCATGATCAAATCTATTGAAAGAAATAGTCAATTGTCTCGCGGCGAATCGGAGAAAACGATTTTGAATGCTTTCAATTCTAATGAGATAATAGCCATCGTAAGGTACCCACATAGCTGAAGCATATTCTACGAAACTTCTGACTAACACAAAATAATGTTAAAAAAAATAAATGTTAAAAAAATAATGTTAAGAATTTCTTTATTATAATTTTTTAAACATGAAAAAAATTTACAAAAATAGTCTTTTTTTAGCGCGTCTAAGAAATAAAGGTAAAAATAGAAATTTTTAAATTTCCTGTTTTCATGATTAGAATTTGACTCATTTATTTATTTTCACATATAAAGTCAGATCTGGTTTTATCCTATATAATTGAAAGAAATAAAAGTTCAATTAACTTTATTAAGAACAAAAAACTTTTAATGAAGGTTATGAAAACAATTTCTTTGTTCATTTGAAATTTTTTTTATTTCTCCGACACAACCATAAAATCTTAATCTTTCAATTTATACAAAAAAAAATTCAACTTGTAATAAAGTCAGTTTCTCTTTTCCTCTTAATTTCGTAACTTGGTTCAACTTCTACAAACGAGAAACTCAAAGATGTAATTTTTAACAAAATTCCATAAGAAAGGGTTAACCATTAGAAAATTATAATTTTGATTCTATTGAAGATAAATTTCTAATATTACGACAGACTTATTTTCATTTATTAATTTTTATTAATTAAATACACTATTTTACACTGAAATTTGTAATCGAACAATTCGTGTATTTTTCGATTCCTGGAGGTATTTTTAGGGAAGAAAGTTTTACTTAACCCTCTGCTTGACACATGTTCCGATGTGCATCAATTGCTACATTTCTATGATTCATTGTCGAAATTAAAAAATTCATCATGGCGACTTCAAAATGGCGCCACATGTATTTAGAATCTTCTATCAAGATTAAGAAAGTTTCGCACCCTTAAATAACTATTTTACCTGATGTAATGTTTATTTTTTCATTTTGAATTGATGTCTTTTAATAGGAAATAAGGAGTCTACTGAGAAATTGCAATATGTGCAAAAATAATATTTTTCCGAATCATAAAGTTTCTTTCGCGATTTTATGCCCAGAAGTTGAAAGAATAATTTTGTTATTTATAGTACCTCGAAAAGTCAAGTGGGAAATTCAACATCAACACCAAGTGGAAGTGGAAATACAGGAAGTGGAAGTCGAGCGGGCATATCACGTTCTCGAGCAAGAATAATGCGAGGAAGTTCTGCGATTCGTGGTGGAAGTAGCGGAAGTGGCAGTGGAAGTAGTGGAAGAATAGGACCGCCTGGAGTTATAATGGGAGGCAGTAGTAGCAGTAGTTCGCGGCCCATAGTTTCCGTGCCGGCTCCTTTCGTTCCCGATGAATTGATTGCCCAAGCTCAAGTAGTCCTGCAAGGTAAAAGTCGAAACATCATAATGCGCGAGCTCCAGCGCACCAATTTGGACGTCAACTTGGCAGTCAACAATTTACTATCACGTGACGATGAGGAGGGCGATGACGCGGAGGACGCTGCCGATGGTTACGTACCAGAAGACCTCATATCCTTACTAGATGGTGGATTCAGCAACGAGCACTCTGTCATCATCGATGCTGACTCCATGTTCTCAGAGGATATGTTCGGCTATGGCTCGATAAGAAATCGAAGCAGTTCTTCAAGAAGACTCGGAAGCGAAAGGGACGGAGAGCGTTCAACAGAGCGCGACCGGGACAGGGACAGTTTTAGTCGATGGAGAGATCGTCAGTATTACGGACCTCGGCGATGGTTGGAAACTGCTTTGAAAGACTCATGGGAGAAGGATCCCGACAGCAAGAAGAAGGAATTGGTGTCACAGAGTCCGCTTTGGATATCCGAGGAACTCGAGTGGTTCCATGAACGTAGTGGTGAATCGCCACCGAAATTTGTACAAATTGCCGCTCTCTACAGTGAATTAATAGGCGTCTCATCGACTGGACAATTGTATCAATGGAAATGGGCCGACTCGGAACCCTACAAGAATTCTGAAAATCCAAATATTCACCATCCGAAGACAATAACTTTAGGCCTCACGGGAGAGAAGATCGTCAATATATCCGCGACTGCGATTCGTTGTTCTGTTAGTACGGAAAGTGGTAAGGTTGCCACCTGGCTTGATGAATTGTTGGGCCCCGTTGCTTCTAGGTTGGAACATCCTGCACAAGCATTCTCCGAGTTCATTCTTGACAAGATTATATCACTTCACACTTGCGCTCTCTACACGGTCGCGAAACTCGAGAGCGGCGCTCTTTACTGGTGGGGGGTCTTGCCATTCGCTCAACGGATGAAACTTTGGGAGAAGTACAAAGCCAAGTCTCGTAAACACAAACCTTCCACAGCCCTGTCTGCTGAGATAAGTTACGGCACTCACGTGTGTATGAAGAATAGTCCGATCTACCAACCCGGGGCGATTGGTTTCACTATCGCTAACGGCGTTCCAAAAGTCGGGCAACTATTATCCGCTGTCTGGAATTTGGACGCTATCTGCAGATTCAAAATCCTACCGCCGGGGTCTTTGGCAACAGTGTCGAGCGAGAAGAGGGAGTCGAACGGCAACAACTCGAACAGTGGTACGACTAACAAGACAATTCATAAGGAAACTGCCGATCGACTGGATATGCCTCCGCCACCTTCACCAGCCTCCAGTACCTGTAGTGACACCGGAAGTATAACCACCAGTCACAAGCGTCAAAAGAAAATGGCTCCGAAGAACGAGAACGAACCGGACAGGAAAGACGAGGAAGATTGGCACCTAAAGGAAGTCGTCTTCGTCGAGGACGTAAAGACCGTCCCCATCGGGAAAGTAATCAAAGTCGACGGTTGTTACGTGGCTGTGAAGTTCTTCTCAAAAGACTCCAAGGAGAAGGAAAAAGAAAGCAAAGACAAAGACTTCAGTACCGCCGATTTCAAGGATCTGACCGCTGAGGAATTGATTAAACTCCTAGCCGACTGTAGACTCCTAAGAAAAGACGAGTTACAAGTCATCAAACCTTCCATGAACTCAAGAGCTCCGGATTGCTTTCAAAGAACACCGAGGCGCGTCAACATTCCAGAAAGTACGCACGAAAATCTGCTAACAATCGCCATTGATGGTCAAGGCATTCATGCGATAGTGAAGAACGGAATAAAACTCACCTACGTTATCTATAATCTAAGCACCGGTAGGTACGTTCAAGATTGCTATATCCCCTCCGACCTGAACGCTTTCTTGGGTCTGCAGCCCCAGAACATTAGTCTGACAAGCGCCGGCGAGAATACCGAGTGCTCCATGATCCTCCGCGACGGTAATAATACAATCTACCCCATCGCCAAGGACTGTGCGGACGCGATTCGAGACTCAAATTGGCTCGACCTGACGCCTATTTTGTGCATCGGTGCGTCCACCATCCCTCTGCCGAATATTCCCTCCATTAACTTGAAGAATCAGGTCGCGGTCATAGCCCTAGCTTTCGATAACCTGATGCTTATGCCTAGAATCCTAAGATGTGACTATGATGGTGTAAAGCAGGTTTTCACATCCCTGGAGCAAGATTCGAAAGTTGGGTCTCCAATCCAGACGATTTTGACCGAACGCTGTGATGGGAACCGAAACATTCTGCACGCCTGCGTAAATATGTGTTCACCGACTTCGAATAAGGAGAACGATCAAGGGATCGAACGGGACCTTGTGACTAACGCCGTGGACGCTACTTCGGCACCGATAGAGGAGCCGATACCAACTCTCAATTGGCCTCCGGAAGCTTTCGATAACACGTCGGGGGAAGAGGACAGTCTCCTAAGCATTGGCACCGGGAGTATTTCGATGATGAACAAGTCGGGCAACAATGCGGCTAATAATACGTACATTATCGATTCCGTAGAACGACGGAATAACGCTCTCCTGATTCTCAAGTACATGTGTGACAATCCAGTTTTGGGGCCGAATTTGAAGGAACTGCTTTCGGCGAGGGACGCACAAGGACAGACGCCTTTGATGTTGGCAGTTTCGGCTCGAGCCTATCACGCCGCGCTTATACTTCTGGACACGATTCAACGAGTTACCAAGGACTCTCAAGGCAAAGACAGTTCGTCGATGATACTCCCTCCGGACTCGAACCCGGATTTATCTCCCTTGTTCGTCACGTGCTGCAACGACACCTGCAGTTTCACCTGGACCGGCGCCGACCACATAAATCAGGATATCTTCGAGTGCCGAACTTGTGGTTTGACGGGGTCTTTGTGCTGTTGTACGGAGTGCGCTCGCGTCTGCCACCGCGGTCACGATTGTAAGTTGAAGAAGACTTCCCCAACGGCGTACTGCGACTGTTGGGAGAAGTGTAAATGCAAGGCGCTGATCGCCGGTCTACAGGGAGCGCGCTACGATCTCCTGTGTCGTTTAGTGACAAGTACGGACCTGGCCACCAAGATCAACTCCCGGGGCGAGAGTATTTTACTATTCTTGGTTCAAACCGTCGGTAGACAGTCCATCGAACAGCGGCAATTTAGATCCGCGCCCAGACAGCGACCAACTTCCGCGAGTCGCAAAACTTCGTCAGCCGATGGCATCGGCGCAGAGGCGGACATGCCCGACCACGACCTCGAACCACCGCGCTTCAGTCGACGAGCCCTGGAGCGACTGCTGAACGACTGGCCCGCCGTCCAGTGCATGATTATGTCCGGCGTTCACGAAAACCCCATAGATCAATTATTCGGAGACCAAGGGAATGGAAGTCGTCAGAGTGGAACTGCACTTTTGGATAAATTCACCCATTCCCTAATTGTGAAATGTAGTTGTGAGATGTTGGACACCTTATTGACGACTCTAATCCGGGAATTGCAGAATGAAACCACTCCTGGTCGACAGGAGGAAGCGACGAACGTTGCCAGACGATTCGTCAGATCGGTAGCGAGAATATTCGTTATCTTCACCATTGAAATGGCGCCAAACACCAATAAGAGGAGGAATACTTCAACGAAATCAGCGACTTCCAATACAACCCAAAGTTCACAACCTTTGCTCAAGTGTCGCAGAATCTTCCAGGCTTTGATAAAATTGGCCGTGGAGGAATTGTGCGAAACTGCCGATTCACTAATTGCTCCGGTGAGGTTGGGAGTCTCGCGTCCCACTGCTCCTTTCACTCTAACAAGCTCTGCCATTGAGGTCATTAACGGATCGGAGGAATTATTCTCCATTGAGCCTCTAATTCCGCACAATGGAATAAGTCCACAGATTTTGGAGTCGGGACTGCAGGCGCAGCCGGGAAGTGGTAATATTCAAATTGCGAGGGATGTGTCGGCGTTGGATGAGACTGAAGGTGGGGAGGAAGTGCCGATGGACATTGATGGGGATGTGAGTGAACATGAAGAATCGGGGGTGTCGGGGGCGGGCGTCTCTGGACAAGCTTTGGGTGAGGTGGACAATAATGTTGGGGGAGTTGGAGAGGAACAAGCCGGCGATGGGGAATCCGATGCCGAATTGGATCTTCTAGCTGAAGCTGAGGCTGAAACGGACTCCGATTCAGACGATAATCACAGTAATCAAGACGCTGCTTCTGCACAACGCAGTGTACAGACGGGAGCAACTGCTGGCTCCGATGGCGGTATGGGATCTATTTTACTCTTCCCAGAAGTCGAGTCTGGTGAGTCGAGTCAACAAGAGGACGACGAGAGTGAAGCTGGGGAAACTGATGAACAGGATAATGATGAATTTCAAATTGGGGACGAACAACTTGAACGTCGAAGGTAATTGAAACCAAATAATTTTCTCTTTATTTTCTTCTTATACAGTTTAAAAGAAAATCTTAATTTAAAGATTGAATTAAGATTAAATTAAATTAAATTCAACCACGTCTGCTTACATGAAAAAATCGTTAAAATCGATCGCAAAAATTGAAATCCTAATTTTTAATTCTATTTGTTTAGTGGTACGTCGGGTAATTTACAACGAAACAATTTGGCTCCCATTTCGATGCAATGGGCAATAAGGAATCGAGAATCGAATACTCGCACTGCCGGCTTGAGGGTGACTGGAGGCAGTAATTTGGTCTTCATTGACCCCTCATCACTGCGACGGTCCTCGACGGCTTCGACTGTTGCAGCTGCTCAAGAACCTATAACAATGGGAACAACCGCGAGTTGTTTGGCCAGAGCCTTTGGAATTGTTATTAGACAAATAGCCGATCTTTTGACACTGATGCACGATTACAAGATGAATGCCCCGTCACTTCCAAGACTCATGGAAATCACTTATCAAGACGCTATTAACCTTCAGGTATGTACTATACTTTTTATTCGTAAATTTTTAGTTTAATAGTAATATAAGTAGAGAATTTTCAATTATTTTCATAAATAATAAAACTCATCGAAGAATTTTAATTATTTTTAATACTATTTTAAATTATTATTTAATAGAAAAATTCAATTATTTTCACAAATAAAATTTTCCACAAGAATTCAATTATTTAGAATAAAATTCTGATAATATTTCCTACAATTATTTTCATAAATAATAAAATTCATCTCAGAATTTTAATTATTTTTAATATAATTTTACAGGAATTGCTAAAAAAATGTAATTATTCTTAACAATTTAATTTCAATTTCTCGAAAAAATCAATTATTTAAAAAAATATTAGAATTTTTCACAGGAATTCAATTATTTTCAAATATTTTCATGAAATTGTTTGAAAGAAATCAATTATTTTAAATACAATTTTAATTAAATTTTTTTGAAATAATTTATTTATTCTTTTAGATTTTAATAAAATTCTTCCCAAGAATTATTCAATTATGTATATAAATAATTCTTCGATAGAAATTTAATTATTAAGTTTTACAAAGTTATTTCCGAAAATTCAATTATTTTGAGGCATTTTAATAAAATTCTTTACAAAATTCAATTATTTTCATAAATAACAATATTCATCACAAGAATTCAATTATTTTTAAAAGTAATAAATTTCTTCTTGAAAATTCAATTATTTAAACAAATTTTAATAAAATCTTTCGCAAGAATTCAATTTTTTTTATAAATAATAAAATTTATCGCAAGATTTCAATTATTTTTAATACAATTTTAATCGAATTCCTCGAAAAATGTAATTATTCTTTGAAATTTAATTTCAATTCCTCGAAAAAATCAATTATTTAAAAAAATGGTTTTTTTAAATTCTTCGGAACAATTCAATTATTTACAAAAATATTAGTATTTTTTACAGAAATTTAATTATTTTGAAATATTTTAATAAAATTGTTAGAAAGAAAGAAATTATTTTAAATACAATTTTAATTACATATCTTTTTAAATAATTAAATTATTCTTTTAGATTTTAATAAAATTCTTCCCATAAATTCAATTATTTACAGAAATAAATCGTCGAAAGAATTCAATCATGTCGATAAATAAGAAGATTAATACCAAAAATCCAATTATTTTGAGGCATTTTAATATATAATTATTTGCAAAATTTAATTGTTTTCATAAATAACAATATTCATCAGAAGAATTCAATTATTTTTTAATTATCTTAAAAAAATCTAATAAAATCGTTTGCTAGAATTCAATTATTTTCATAAATAATAAAAAGCTTATTAGGAATTCAATTATTGACAAAAATTTTAATAAAATTCTTTGTAAAATTTAATTATTTTTAAATACTTTTCGCAATTCAATGATTTTCAATATCTACCATTTTCATAAAATTACCAAATAAAATTCAATTATTTCAAAATATTTTTATAAAAGTCTTCACAAGAATTCAATTATTTTTATAAATAATAAAAATATCACAGGGATTTAATTCTTTTTAATAATTTTAACTAAATTTTTCACAATAATTCGATTATTTTCATAAATAATAAAATTCATCGCAGGATTTCAATTATTTATAATAAAAATTTACAGGAATTGCTTGAAAGTTGTAATTATTCTTAAAAATTTAGTTTCAATTTCTCGAAAAAATCAATTATTCAAAAAAATGTTTTTTTAAAATTCTTTGGAAGAATTCAATTATGTCGATAAATAACAAAATAATTTCTGAATATGCAATTCTTTTAGGGCATTTTAATAAAATTCTTTGCAAAATTTAATTTTTATCGTAAATATCAATATTCGTCAAAAAAATTCAATTGTTTTTAAAATTAATAAACTTCGTCTTGGAAATTCAATAATTCTTTTAAAAAATTCTAATAAAATCATTCGTAAGAATTCAATTATTCTTGTAAATAATAAAATGCTTTTTAGGAATTCAGTTATTTAAAAAAAAAAATTTAATAAAGTACGACACAGACAATTCAATTATTGTAAAAAATTTTAATTGAATTCTTTGTAAAATTTAATTATTTTTCAAAAACTTTTCGCAATTCAATGATTTTTAATATCTACTATTTTCATAAAACTCAATAAAGAGGTACAGTTACAATTTTTAAAAAATAATTAATTATTCTGTGAATTATTTATTTTTGTATTTAAATAGTTGAATTCTCGTAGTTGAATTCTGATAAGAATTGATTTAAAAAATGATTTCAGTTAAAACTTTTTAGAAAATAATTAGAAGTGTTAAAGTAGGATTCTTTGGAAATGATTAAATTTGAAAAAAGTTTTTAAATTTAAATCTGAAATTATAATTGTAAAATTATAGTAATATTTAAATATAAAAATGATTCATTTATTAGTTTTTCGCTTGAGAAATAATCGGGTTTTTTTCTGTCAATTAATAGGTATACCTAGAGGGTCACTTAAAGCCAACGTGGGACTGGCTGTTGACTGTGATGGACGCTACGGAAGCCCAGTTGCGATTTGGAGTATCACTGACACGAAGTGCTGATCCTTCACATCCTGAACACCCTCTAAATAATGCACCATCAATTTCCGGAGGAAACTTTTCAGGTTTGTTCAATTCCGCTGCCGTGTCTCTGACACTCCAAGGAAATTCAAACCGGAATCAACGCAGCGGCATTACTGCAACTTCAAATATTTCCACGACAAATAGTTCAACGAGGCTCACTGTCGGTTTCACTGGTGTTGGCGATCCGCCTAGAAACAACAGGGATCGCGAAGGTAAGAAAACTCGAGGTATTGTTTAATTTTTCTGTTCTTTAACTTTTACATCTTATGTATTGAATTTATAATTGCTGCTGAAATCTTGAATACTTGAATATCAATTCTTTTCTTTATTAGGAGGAGACGCACATTCGTCGAGAAGAGAATTTTTGTCCTACTGCTTGTCGTTGATGAGAGCACACAATGGAGAACACAGGGACAGTCTTCCTGTGTTGGATGTTTCTGCTCTTCGACATGTCGCATATGTTTTCGATGCTCTTGTTTACTACATGCGTTCGCTCTCGGAACCGAGGGGCGACGGTCAAAAGGATTCTTCGTCATATTCTACTTGGAACGATCAGGTAATTTTTAATTATTCTCTTCTTTAATTTTTATATTTTAGATAAAATTCGCTAATTTTACGAGTAGATTTCTAAAAATCTAAAATCTAAAATTATTTTAAAAAATCAGGAACAATCAATATATTTATATGAAATGTGCAAATATGATTTTCTAAGTAAATTTGCTTTGATGTTTAGGACGAGAACGACAATGAGGAAGGGGAGGACGACACATTACCAGGAAACGCTGCAATGGAATCTGATCCAGTAGAGTATCCAGACCTTCTACAGGTTCCGGTTTGTGCAACGGCAAATAGTATTAGTCAAGTGGGAAAAGGAAGAAAGCATCCCTTCCTACAGAGATCAGATTCAACACTGTGTCTCGGTTGTCCACCAATTGATCCATTCGATACAGTTATAAGCGAGGCATTACCATTAGCTGACCAGCCGCATTTATTACAGCCACACTCGAGACGCGAGGATCTATTCGGCGTTCCAAGACAACCACTGGTTACAAATCCAAACTCCAATCAAAATACACTCGAGGGTCTGCCCACTAGACTCGGACTCTCGACACGCAGCGTTGATAATCAAAATACTGGCGCGACTCTCACCTTGAGTCAAATTATTCAGGGCCCTGGCTCCAGTTCTGTGTCTTCTGACAATCGACGCAATTCGCTAAATGAACCTGGTTCGAGTAAATGCACGGTAATAAATTATTATTCAAATAATAAATTAGCAATTTTCAATTTTCACTATTTTGTTTATTTATAACTTTTGTTTAACAGGAAAAGGCGAAAGGTTTAAATTCTACAGCTGATGGACAGTCCCCAGTGACTGTTACTGAACAACTTGATAGAGCTCCAATTATCGTTTCGCCAAATAGTCAAGGCGATGCTGCGACAAATGTGAAGAGTAAAGAAGCTTGTAAAAATGGCAGGAGCGTCATTGTTCGAGCAGGAACTGTATCCGTAAGTTTTATTTTCAATTTTTCACAATAATTACTTTCACAATTATTATTTCACAATAATAATTTAAAGAAATTTACTCAATATTAACCCTAGAACGAAAATATAATTCTTTCTACCCTCTAACAGAAAACTGGGGTCATTTGGCTCCCCACGTTTTAAAAAATATGTGAAAGGTTTTTATTTTACTGGAAAAGAGGTTTAATATAGTGAATTTTTTTTCGTTTTTCTGTAAGGAAGACGATGGTATTATTCGCTTTTTAATAAAGTAAAAAGAAATGTAAAAAAAAGTTGTAAAAACAAAATATGATCCAAAACTTTCTTAAAATTAACAATTTTTAGAAAAAAATTGTAGTTTTTTTAAAAATTGAAGAATTTAAAAAATGCCGATGAATTTTGAAAATTGAAAATTATGAATAAAGATTTGAAAAATTTTTAAAGTGACATAAATTATTACTTCAAAAGGTTTCAATTTGAAATTTTAGAAAATTTCAAATTTGAATGAATTTATTTAATAAGAAATTTTAAAAAACTTAGTTTTTTGAATAATTTGAATAATTTAAATTCTTATGAAATTAGTTATATTTTTTAAAAATATATCTAATCAATTATTGAAAATAATGAATTTATAGAAGAATTTTGGTTAAAAACACTAAAAAAATATATAATTTTGGAGAAGTTATAAATATTTGCAGAAATCCAATAATTTTCAAAAGTAATAAAATCTTTCACGGAAATTTAATTATGTTCGAAAATTTTAAAAAATTCAATATGTTCAAAAATTCAATTATCATTATAAATAATAAAATTCTTTTCCGAAATTCAATTAGTTTCAAAAATTTTAATAAAATTTAGAGCATAATTTCAATAAAATTTTCCAAAATAATTCAATTGTTTAAAAAAATTTTGATAAAATTCTACGCAAACATATAATTATTTTTATAGATAATAAAATTTTCTCTGGAATTCAAATATTTACAAATTATTTATAATTTTCTTCGCAATAATTCAATTGTTGTCATAAATAATAAAATTTTTGACAGAGATTCAATTATTTTCATAAATAATAAAATTCTTTTTTAGGAATTCAATTATTTTTGTAAATAATAATAATAAAACTCATTGCTGAATTTCAATTATTTTTAATACAAATTTAATCAAATTCCTGGAAAAATGTAATTTTTCTTAACAATTTTTATTAAAATTCGTCGAAAAAATTTAATTATTAAAGAAATTTTTTGCTACAATTCTTTATAAGAATTCAATATTAAGAAATTTTCAAGTTTTCAATAAATTGTTTACTTTTGTATTTAAATAATATAATTCTTGTGTAGAACTTTCTAATATATTATTTAATTTCAAAACTTTTACTTAATTCAATGATTTTCAAAAAATTTCCTTAATTCAATTATTTTCAAAAATTTTTCTTATTTCAATAATTTTCAATATTTTACAATTTGAATAAAATTTCTCAAAAGAATTCAATTATTAAACAAAAATTTTGATAATATTCTTTTAAGTTATTGAGTCTTTTGAAAATCTTAATTATTGTGGAAGAATGATAATAATTAAATATTTATTTAAAAAAGAAGTTATTGCCGTTTTCGAATAATTCTAAAATAATAGAAATTAGTAAATAAATGTAAATTAAAAAGAAGAAAAAGTTACATTTGTGTTTAAAAAATCGACTATATCAATAGTTTTAAGTATAAAATTACGATGAAATTTTTTAATTTTAATGTTATCTTTAATTAACAGTAATGAGTCGTTGAATAAATAATTTACTAATTTTTTTCATTAAAAATTACAGGATTCGAGTGTAAATAAAGTGGGAGCACCTGATGTTCTTATGGTACCAGCGGTTGAGGCACAAAATGTCACCGAGGAAGTTGATCCCACTGCGTCAAGTCACGAAATTTCGGCTCATGAAACCGTCGAGACAAGTCCTATAGAAACAACTAAAAATGTATCATCAATCGGAACGAATATTTCACACAATATTTTACTTGGACGCTGGAGACTTTCGCTCGACTTATTTGGAAGAGTTTTCATGGAAGATGTTGGACTCGAAGTCGGATCTGTCGTCTCAGAATTGGGCGGCTTTCCAGTCAAAGAAGCAAAATTCCGTAGAGATATGGAAAAATTGAAAAACTCCCAACAGAAAGACATCACTCTCTCAAAAGTAATTTTTTTTTCTTATTTTCCATTTTACTATTTATTAATTTTCTTTTTCTTATTTATTATTTATTTATTTTCATTTTCATTACTTATGAATTTTTTTTAATATAAACTCTTTATTGAAATTATATAAAATAAAATTATAAAATAAAATGATTAAAATTGTTTCTTCGTTTTTGAAATAGGTCGAACGTGACAGAACACAGTTGCTTGTTCAAACGATGAAGGAATTAAATACACAATATAATCTCTACAATAGAAGAGCGACGAATACACCTCCGTTGGCAGTAAATCGTGTTAAAGTTACATTTAAAGACGAACCTGGAGAAGGTTCTGGAGTTGCTCGAGGTTTCTACACTGCAATTGCTGAGGTATTTTTTCAGTTCATTCCTCTGAGAAGTATTCTAAATATTTACCTAAGTATATATCATAATTTATTTTCTATTCTTTCAGGCGTTACTGGCAAATGAAAAACTTCCAAATCTTGAAGCTGCACAGGTTGGCACTAAGTACACGCAGTATAATGTTTTACAAAAACTAAAGAGCAGAGATCGTGATCATAATCTTAGGAGACAGGTAAATTAATACAAGACTATATTTTTTGTACTTTTTAGGCGTAAAATTCGTAATAAGCGACAACAAAAATTCATTGCTTACAAACTAACAGGAAAATTAGATGAATTTTAATAGAAATTGTGTCATAATATTTAATTAAATTCTATGCAAAGCGGATAACCCAAAACTTCTAATGCAGGCTTCGTACTCATCTACCAAAAAGCTCTAATTACTAATTTTTTTAGGCTACTTTTAGATACTTTTCTTATAATTGTGATACTAAAAGCTCCTATTTTCTATTTTTGAGAATTTGCACTACTTTAAATTCGCTAATAGTTGAAATAAAAAAAATTATTCTCGAAACTTTAAATTAAATTCATAGAAACAATTCGAAAAATTTCAAACTAAAATTCTATCAAACTACCTATTCAATTATTTTCAAAAACTTTTCAAAACTCAATTATTTCTAATATCTACTATTTTAATATAAAATTTCCCAAAAGAATTCAATTACATATTTAAAAAAAAAATTTATAAAATTCTTTGCAAATATTCAATTACTAGCTGTCGTACCCGTCTTCGACGGGTTTTAGTTTCTACCAATACATTTATTTAACAATGTTTCTACCAATCTGGAAAATCAGAAAATAGCCGGGAATTTAATTTGACCGGAAAATTAATAATTAGTTACCATTAGCTATTTCGGTAGTATAATATTACTATTTGAATAGTCTCCACCCTTTAGCAAAAATCAAAAATTATCAAACATTCGAAAAACCGAATTTCTTAAAATTTAACATTTTTTCTTATATTTTATATCAATAAGCTTCATTATTTTTGTGCTCTTCATAAATACTGTACCCAATTTTTTATCTCCACCCTTTGGTAAAAAATCTAAAATTATCAAAAATTATCGAAAATTCAAAAAACCGAATTTCTTAAAATTTAACATTTTTTTCTTCTCTTTTATGGCATTTAGCTTCATTATTTTTGTGCTCTTCAATAATACTTTACTTATTTAATAGACTCCACTCTTTGGTAAAAATTCAAAAATTATTAAAAATTATCAAAAATTGGAAAAACCGAATTTTTTAAAATTCAACATTTTCCTTCTTTTTTATGACATTTAGCTTCATTATTTTTGTGCTCTTCAAAAATACTTTACTTATTTAATAGTCTCCACCCTTTGGTAAAAAATTAAAAATTATTTTATACTTTAATGTACAAGTGCGAAGCCTGTTATTCGAAAAATTAATTTTATATTTATATTATTAAGAAAAAAAGAGAAAAAAAGAAAAAAATTCTTAGAGAATAAAGAAAGCTAAAATTTTCAATATCAAAATTTAAATACAGTATTAGACCAAAAGGCCACAATCAAACTACTAGAAATTGAATTAAGAAAAAGAATTAAAAGGAAAAAAATTGTTCGCTTTATTTCCAGACATCGCGATCTTCTGGAAAGTGTAGAGAGACAAGAAGAGCTTTATCATTCGACGCTCGATCTTTCCATCCATCGAGTGCTGTTGAAGGTGCTAGTGGATCCGGAACTGGAGGTTCATCAGCGACGGCAAATCATTTAAGCAATGACCATCTAACGATGCATCAGCAGCAGTTGGGTGATAGACTTTATCCCAAGGTAAAATTTCCAGTCAGTCTTTAAATGCAAATTTCAATTCGTTACAGGGTCGATCCGGAGTGCATGAATAATCCCCACGTTGTTAGACTTGTAAGATCCATTGAAGCTTCGAATTGTAAAAAAGAAAATTGAAGATCCCGTTTTGAGGAATCATTCTATCCAAGTTGAAAATCGATTTAAAAAATGAAAAATAATTCCTTGTTTTCAGGTGCAAACATTAAGACCAACATTAGCGGAGAAAATAACAGGAATGTTATTAGAACTTTCACCGGCGCAACTATTGATGTTACTCGCGTCGGAAGAAGCTCTCAGACAGAAAGTTGACGAAGCGTTTGAGTTGATTCACAGTCACAGTCAGGACATTGCTAACGAGGCACTTTTAGATTTAGATGTTTTTAGTTTAACCGAACGTTGTGGAAGCAGTAAAAAGAAAAGCATGGAAAGTATATTCTTAGATGATACAGAAGATAATGCTCCTCTATTTTATTCTCCTGGAAAGAGAGGGTTTTACACACCTAGGCAAGGTAGAGCTAGTTATGAACGTTTAAATGCTTTCAGAAATGTAGGAAGGTGAGTAGAAAGACATTTTTTCACAATTAGCATTTGGGCGCTTCTTCTGAAAGTGACATTTTTTTTATCTTGATTAATTTTATAAAATCTACTTTAATAATTCTCATGGTTGCGACAAGTCAGGGAAAAATCAGGGAAAGCAGAATTGGACATGGAAATCGGGAATTTTTATTAAAAATTCTGGAAAAAATTTATTTTAAACACTAACTCTTCATTTTTTCTATTTCTGAAAACAATTTCTTTTTAAATGACTTAATTCTTCAAGAACTATCACAAAATTATTACTTAGAAATAACTTAATGAATAATTTTACTTCAATATTTTAAAATTAATTGAATTTTAAAAGAGTTGCGCCTACAGTTTTCATAAGTAGATCAACTTCAAAAGATTTCAATTTAAAATTTTAGAAAATTTCAATTCTGAATGAATTTAATTAGAAAAAAAAAATTGGATTTTTGCAAAAATTTTAATAATTAAAATTCTTCTTAAATTAGTTAATTTTTGTAATATATATTTAATTAATTATTTAAAATAATAGTAAAAAACACTAAAAAAAATTGAATTTTGGAAAAGTTACAAATAATTGCAGAAATGCAATTATTTTCAAAAGTAACAAAATTCTTCGCAGAAATTCAATTATATTCAAAAATTTTTTTAAATTCTTAGCAAAATTTAAATTATTTTTATAAATAATAAAATTCTTGTCCGAAATTAAAATATTTTCGAAAATTTTACTAAAATTCTTTGCAAAATTTCAATTATTTTTAAAAAATTTCCTCAATTCAATGATTTTCCATATTTGCTATTTTAATCAAATTTTCCAAAAGAATTCAATTATATAAAACAAAAATTTTAGTAAAATTCTACGCAAACATTTAATTATTTTAATAAATAATAAAAACTTCACAGGAATTCAAATACCTATTTACAAATTATTTATAACTTTCTTCGCAATAATTTCATTGTTTTCATAAATAATAAAAATTTCATAGGAATTCAATTATTTTTCTAAATAATAAAATTCCTTACAGTGATTCAATTATTTTTAAAAATTGTAATAAAATTCCTTGCAAAAATTCAATTATTTTCATAACTAATAAAATTTATCGCAGAATTTCTATTATTTTGAATGCAATTTTAATTAAATTCCTACAAAAATAAAATTATTTTTTAAAAATTTAATTAAAATCTTCAAAAGAATTCAAATATTTTTAAAAAATTTGATATAATTTGTTTCTTAGAATTTAACAATTATTTTCAATATATTTTTAATTAAAGAAAATTTGAAGGAAATTCTTCGTAGAAATTTAGTTAATTTCAAAAATTACAAATGATTGCAGAAATACAATTATTTTCAAAAGTATGTAATAAAATTCTTTTCCGAAATTCAATTATTTTCAAAAATTTTAGTAAAATTCTTTGCAAAGTTTCAATTATATTCAAAAAATTTCGTCAATTCAATTTTTTTTTATATCTACTAATTTAATAAAATTTTTCAAAAGAATTCAATTATTTAAAAAAAATTTAGTAAAATTCTTCGCAAACATTGAATTATTTTCATTAATTATAAAATTCTTTTTAGGAATTCAATTTCATAAATAATGAAACTTATCGCAGAATTTCAATTATTTTTAGTACAATTTTAATTGAATTCCTTGAAGAATGTAATTATTCTTAAATTTTTTTTTTGAATTCCTTAAAAGAATTCAATTATTTAAAAATTTGTTGATAAAATTCTTTATGAGAATTAAATTTTGAGAAACTTATTCAATAAATTATTTATTTTTGCATTTAAATGATTGAATTCTTGTAGAATTTTATAATAAAAATTAATTTAAAATTGAATTGCAGTTAAAATCTTTGATAACAATTGAATATTAAAAGCATTATAGGATGAATTTTTAGACATAATTGAATTTTGAAAAGGTTTCAAATTAAAATCTTTGAAAATCTGAATTTTTCATATTTTTAAGTAAAAATTCTGTAGAATTAATTTTTTTGGAAAATTTTAATTCGGGTTCCAAATCTTAAAAGAATTTCCTAGTAATCGAAATTTCGTAAAATTGAATTGTAAACAAATGGATTTGGAAATTCTCAAATAACTTTTTCAAAAATTATTTAAAAAAAATTGTTTTGTAGAAGAATTTTAGTTAAAAATTGTAGAAAATAATAATTGAATTGAAATGATGAAATTAATTTTGAAGAAGTTACAGTAACAATATTCGTATACCTAATATAAAATAATGATTTTAGCACTCCGAATTTAAAAATGAAGACAAAATCGAATTATTTAACAATTAAAGAAATTCGTAAATAAATGTAATAGCAACATTTTTTTGAGTATCTAATAATTTTTAGAGTGAATAAGAATATTCTTTAGGGTCAGGGAAAAAAATCAAAATTTTGTCTGGAAATCAGGGAAAAACAAAATTTAATTTTTGTGGCAACCCTGTTTAATCGAACTGAATAAATTCAGTTTTGGTATTAAAATATACAAATTATTATCTTTTTAAACAGTGTCATTTTATTGTGAATTACGTGAATGATATCAACGTTTATTTTTTACAAAAAAAACTCGCGAATCAAATAAAAATAATAAAATGGATCAACAAAATCAATCTTCTTAAAAGAAGAAAAAACTGTAATATTTTTAACAATTAATGTTTCGCAACTTAAAATCTAACTCTTGAGTATGAAATAAAGTAGTTTCATAGGAAGAAAACCATATAATTTCACTTTCAGAAAAATCGCCTATTTATTTGTATAAATAATAATTTTTTTTGCAATGGAACTTAATTTCTAATTTACTTTACAGGCTTATTGGATTATGTCTTTTACAAAATGAATTGTGTCCAATATTCTTGAATCGACACGTAATAAAATATATATTGGGTAGACCTATTCGGTTCCACGATCTTGCATTTTTTGATTCCGTAATTTACGAAAGTCTAAGACAACTAGTGATTGATGCAGAAACTAAGGATAGTAACACTTTATTCTCAGCACTGGAGCTTACATTCAGGTGAGTTGAATTCATTTTAATTACCTACTACTATTTAATTTACTACTAGGTATTTAGTTATTGACTTCATCTTCTTATGTTTTTCTTTATTTATAAATAAAATTTTTATTTAAAAACAATATATAATTTTTTATCGTTCATACAGAATTTTAAATTATTCTAAAATTTTGTAAGTCAGGAAATTTTGAAAATTAAATTTTGCAGCCATCGTGAATTTAATAATAATATTTAAATATTTATTTATTGTAAAGAATTATTAAACTTTTGAATAAATTTAGTTAAAAATTCTATCAACTAATTGAATTTTAGAGAATTACAGATGTAATTTTTAGAAATAATTAAATTTTTACTATTAAAATAAATTGTATGTTTAAAAAATTCTATCACAATTTTTAACAGTAATCGTGTTTTTTGAAGAAAAATGTTAAAAAATATCAAAACTTTTTTGAAAATAATTGGATTTTTTTTACATTGAATTACAAAAACTTATTGAGATGAGGAAAAAAGTTTTAAAAATTTTTGGAAATGAGGAAAATGATGAGTAGAAAATGAATACTATTTCTTTTTTTGACAGTATTGACCTATGCCAAGAGGAAGGAGGTGGTTCAATTGAATTAGTACCCAATGGTCGAGACATTGAAGTGACTGGGACAAATGTTTACGATTATGTACGAAAATACGCCGAAGTTCGAATGATCAAAGTGCAGGAGAAGGCTTTGGACTCGATGAGAGATGGCGTCTTCGATGTTCTTCCAGAGGGTGCACTAGACGGTTTAACATCCGAGGATTTGAGACTTCTGCTGAATGGCGTCGGCGATATAAATGTCTCTGTTTTAATATCGTATACTTCATTTAATGATGAATCTGGTGAATCAACAGAGCGTCTCGTCAAATTTAAGCGATGGCTTTGGTCTATTGTTGAGAAAATGTCTCACGTTGAACGGCAAGACTTAGTAAGTATTCGATTACAATTTTTTTTTCAATTTTAATTCAAAATTTTAAATGTTTTTTATTAAACAATACGTAATATTTTTACAAATCACCTTAAGGGGAAGTTTAAGTTCGGCTGAGATATCTACATTCGATTTCAATTTTTCGTCTATACTTTCGAGAAAAGTCTTGTTTTTTTGGAATGAATTAGTAGTAAAAAAAAGAATACTGTCTAAAGCTTTTTTTACATTATTAAAATAAACAAGGTTTGCTTTCCAAACTGCAGTTTTTTTTATTGGAAAAAATCTCTGCTTAGTTTGAAGTTAAATGTCTCAACCGAACTTGTACCCCTTTTATCCCTTCTTAATAAAAGCGTGCAAAGAAAAAATTATTTTATAAAAATGCTTGCTTCGTACTCGATAATTAATTTTAAAAAAGTAGCAAAAAGTAGCTTTAAGATTAAGAAAATAGTAAGAAAGTAACTATTGAAAAATTAATATTGAATCTCAATTTTTTCATAATTTCTAAATTAAATTACATTCAAGAATAGAATACTAAATTTTTTAAATACCAATATAATTTTCGACAAGAATTAAAATATTCTAAATGATTTCAATATAAAGCCGTTTTGAAATTTAACTATTTCTAGAAATTACAACTGTAAAATTTAAATATTATTACAGTTTTACAGTTTTTTTTTTAATTTTCAATGTTCTTTTGAAATTTAATTATTTCTAAAAATTCATGTTATAACGCTTTTAATATTCAATTCTTATCTAAAATTTTAATTGAAATTCATTTTTAAATCAATTTTTATTAGAAAATTCTACAAGAATTCAATTATTTAAATACAAAAATAATTAATTTATTGAATAATTGAATGTTTCTTAAAATTTAATTCTTTGGACGAATTTTAATAAAATTTTTAAGAATAATTACATTTTTTTAGAAATTTCAAGAAATTCAATTAAAATTGTATTAAAAATAATTAAAATTAAATTAAATTAATTAAATAATTGAATTCCTGTGAAAATTTTATTATTTACAAAAATAACAGATAAAAAAAATTTGAAAAAAAATTTGTAAAAACACAAATTCTATATAATAATATTGTTTTGAAGAAAATTTAAGTTCGTACGAGGAATTTAATTAAAATTTTACTGAAAATAATTGAATTCTTCTAAACTGTTTGTCACAATTTTTAAAAATAAGTGAATTGATTCAACAAATTTTTTTAAACTTTCTAAAAATAATTAAATTCCATTACGAAAGTTAGTTTAAATTGCATTGAAAATAATTGAATTTTTAGAAAGAATTTTATAGCTTATGAAAATAATTGAATTCTTGCGACAAATTTTATTAGAATTTTTTTGAAAATAATTAAATTCTTTTAGGAAATTTTGTTGAAATAGTATATAATGGAAATAGTCGAATTTAGATAGTTTTGAAATCAATTTAATTCCTACTAAGAATTCCATTAAAATTTTGAAAATAATTAAATACTTTTAAGAAATCTAATTAAAAATGAATTGTAAGTAATTACTGAATTCTAATAAATAAATTATATGAAATTTTTTTAAAATAATGCAATTCATTTGAGGAAATTTAATAAAATGTTTATTAATAATTGTATTTTTCGAGACGAATTCATTTAAAATTGTATTAAAAATAAGTTTTATTATTTATGAAAATAATTGAATTTTTTCAACGAATTTTATTAAAATACTGGCAACAATTCGTGCGCGGCTAATAATTTCTTACTTACTTTTTAAAATAAAATTAACAATTTTAAAAATAATAGAATTTAAAAATTTTTATTCAAATTTTTTTTCATAAAAATAAAAAATAATTAATTAATTATATAATAAAAACATAAACACTAAAAAAATTGAATTTTGAAGAACTTTTACGAATGGTTGCAGAAATTCAATTATGTCCAAAAATTTAAAAACAGTCTCGTTAAAATTTCAATGATCTTTATAAATAATAAAATTCTTCTCTGAAATTCAATTATTTTCAAAAATTTTAATAAAATTCTTCACAAAATTTCAATTCCTTTAAAAAATAATAAAAATTTCACACGAATTTAATTAATAAATTTATTTTTAAATTTCTTCGCAATAATTCAATTATTTTCTTAAATAATACAACTTTTGTTAGGAATTTAATTATTTTTATAAATAATAAAACTCATTGCAGAATTTCACTTATTTTTAATATAATTTTAATCGAATTTATCGAAAAATGTTTAAAAAATTTATAAAAATTCGTCAAAAGAATTATTTAAAAATTTGATGATACATTTTTTAGCAGAATTAAATTGAAATTATTTGTTGAAGTTTTTATTTTCTAATATATTTAATTGAAAAATTTCCGAATAATCAAGATTTCGTATAAAATTGAATTTTATACAAATGTATTTGAAAATTCTCAAAGAATTTTTTCAAAAATTATTACAAATTGTTGATTTAGAGAAAATTTTTGGTTAAAATTTCTAGAAAATAATAATTGAATTGAAATGATTAAAATAATTTTGAAAAAGTTACGATAACAATTTTCTTATAATATAAAATAATGATTTTATTACTGGGTCATCTTTAATTATTGTAGAACAAAAATATTCTTATAAGTTATTAAATTTAAAAAAATTTGAATTTGAAAGTTTTGAAAATTTTAATTCCCAGGAAAAAAAAATTAAATTTTGATTTTAAAAAGAAGTTTATGATGTTTTCGAATAATTTTACAATTAAAGAAATTCGTTGAATTGTTTCTAAGAATTTAATTAAAATTTTCGAGAACAATTTTTTTATTTCAACTATTAGCGACTTTATAGTAGTGCAAATTCTCAAACAGAAAAAAGTAGCTTTTAGTGGCACAAATCTAAAAAAAAGTGTCGAAATAGTAGCAAATCGTAAAAAAGTAGTAAATAATTTAGTAGACGAGTAAGAAATGAGATAAATTATTAAATGAGGTATTTATTGAATTCGACAGGTATACTTTTGGACCGGATCGCCAGCGTTGCCCGCAAGTGAAGGTGGTTTCCAACCAATGCCAAGTGTGACAATTCGACCCGCCGATGACATGCACTTACCAACTGCGAATACCTGCATCTCCCGACTTTACGTTCCACTGTACAGCTCACGACATGTGCTACGTCACAAATTACTTCTCGCCATAAAGGCAAAGAACTTTGGATTCGTATGAACTTCGTTCTCTGTATACTTGCGATAGTCCTTAAAGGAAACCGCATTAAGCATTATAACATATATAATGAAAAGAAAATGCAAAATATCTTGTTATTTTCCTTTTTCTCCTAGAAAAATTTATAACATTTATAAATTTGTAAGGTGTAATTATAATAATTCATTATTTCGATCAAGGAAATTGGTCCTACGTCTTAATAAGATTTTATGTTAATGTGTCATATTTAGCCTTTATAGAAAAGAATAAAACAAAAAAAAACCAATAAATCTTTCTCAACTATTATCAAATTGTTACGGATCTTCTAATGTTTCAACATTTCAATCATCCGACAAAAAAAAAGGAGAAAAATAAGCTTTTCTAGTTTTAAAAAATTTTGTTTTTCATCATATTATAAAAAAAAAGGAAAGAAAATAAACTTTGTAAATGTTGAATCATCGAAATAAAAATTAGATAGCATTTGTCTGAAAAAAATTAAATAAATCACACAAATGAAATCTGTAGCAAAATTTACATCGTCGTAAGTGAAAAAATAAATCCTAACGGTTGGTAAATTTTAGAAATAATAATAATAAAAAGAGTAAAAGCTCATTTACTTTGTTTTTCATTTCTGACAAACTTTTTCACTGAGTTTAATTTTTTATTTATTTTTCTTTTTTTTTTGGAATTTTCTAGCGACAAGAAACAAGCGAGGTACGATTAAAAATCTTTTATTAGGCGTGTACCAGACGTAACAGAAGACGTAGATTAAGTTCGTAAAACGAGATGCACCTTGTAAGTGAAAAAGCATGAGAATTGAATTTTTTTTCCCTTCACGTGTTACGCACCATTTCCAAGAAATACATATGTACAACACAAAAAAAAATTATAGACGAGTACGAGAGAAGCAATTTAATTTTAAATTAAATGCAAGAACTGTTTTAAAAAAAAAAGAGAAAAAAAATCCCGGGTCTAATTTTTTTTTTTTTTTAATAAAGAAAAATCAATTCTTTGCTTTGTTTCTTTGAAAGAAAATAATAAAAACAACAAAACACGGATTAAAATATGAAAAATTTGTTAAAATGAATTTTCGATTGGCTGTTTTCACTTGCGTGTTCCTCGCAAGCCACTTAAAATATAGCGTCCATTTTGAAAAATGAAAAATATTTGAATTTACAGCAGTTTAAATATGTATTTCCTAAACGTATAACTGAAAGAGTAAAAAATAATCTATTATCTTTAATTTACTTAAAAAAAATACTAACGCTAATATATATAATATATATAATAAATCTCATTATTTATAAATTTCTAAAAATCGCAGAGTTATATATACAATAATTATATTATCCGTTATGTACTTCAGAAAGTATCATGAGAAACTTATGTACAATGGGTAAACTACTGACCACTGCCAGTGTTGTTTAAGGATAATTTTGTGGTCACTTGACTTAGTTGAGCCAAGGTGTCAGGCGAAGCGTGAGCTTTTAAAATTGAATTTTCAGCTTCCAATAGATTAATGCGATCCATCAGTTCGGCTATTTTTTCTTTCAACACTTCAACTTCTTCTCGCACAGCATACATTAGATGACTCTTTACCAAGTCCTATAACAGAAATTTTTTTTCTTGTTTATAAATTATCATTTTAATCATCTTTCATCTTCTTATTATTATTATTAGCACTAAAAAAAGTTAATTAATTTAATTAAATTATAAGGCTAAAGCCATGAAGAAAAATTCTTTAATTATATGGTAGGGCTTATCGGTGCACCTGTGTTTAAGCAAACTGTTTGATTGCATTACCAAACTTCGGCGAACAAAAAAAAAACTTTTAAGGAGCCACGCAACCTGGAAACCTGGAAATGTCAGGGAATTTTATAAGTCTTAAAAAAACCTGAAAAAGTCAGGGAATTTTGATCGAAATCCTGAAAAATTGTTATTTTCTAAAGTTTATTCTTGAAATCTAATTTTACATAAATATTTCAAAATTAATTAAATTTTCAAAAAGTTGTGTTTACAATTTTCATAAGGTACAGATGAATTTCAAAAGATTTTAATTTGAAATTTTGTAAAATTTCAATTTTTAATGAATTCAACTAGAAATCGTCTTAAAGAACGTAAATTTTTGAGAAATTTTAATTATTCCAATTCTTCTGAAATTAATTAAATTTTTTAATATATATTTTTAATTGATTATTACAAATAATGGATTTATAGAAGAATTTTAATTAAAAACACTAAAAGAAAGTGAATTTTGAAGCAATTACAAATGATTGCAGAAATTCAATTATTTTCAAAATTAGTAAAATTCTTCTTAGAAATTCAATTATTTCCAACAATTTTAATGAAATTCATGGCAAAATTTTAATTATTTTCAAAAACATTTATCAATTCAATGATTTTTAATAAATCTACTACTTTAATAAAATTTTTCAAAAGAATTCAATTATTTAAAAAAAAATTTTAAATTCTACGCAAACATTTCATTATTTTCAAAAATAATAAAACTCATCTCAGACATTCAATTATTTTTAATACAATTTTAATGGAATTCCTCGAAAAAATGAAATTATTCTTAAAAATTTTATTAAAATTCCTTCAAAGAAATTCAATTATTTTAAAAACCTTTGGCTACAATAATTTATTTATTAGAATTTAAGTATTATTTTCTATAAAGTTTTAATTAAATTTCTTGAAAAATTAAATTATTTTCAAAAATTTTAATGAAATTCTTTGTAATAATTCAATTTTTTTTCAAAATAATTTTAATAAAATTCTTCGTAGAAATTTAAATAATTTCAAAAATTTGTCAAAATTCAATTATTTTCAATGTCTACTATTTCAATAAAATTTCATAAAAGAATTCAATTATTCAAAAAGACATTTTAATAATAAAATTCGTCTCAAGAATTCAATTATTTTCAAAAATTAATATAATTCTTCGCAGAAATTTAATTGTGTTCAATAATTTACAAAAATTCTCGTCAAAATTTCAATAATCTTTATAAATTTTCCTCCAAAATTTAATTATTTTCTAAAATTTTAATAAAATTCTTGGCAAAATGTAAATTATTTTCAAAAACTTTTATCAATTCAATAATTTTTAATAAATCTACTACATTAATAAAATTTTTCAAAAGAATTCAATTATTTAAACAAAATTTTTAAATTCTACGCAAACATTTCATTATTTTCATAAATAATAAAACTCATCGCAGACTTGAAATTATTTTTAATACATAATTCTAATGTAATTCCACGAAAAATGAAATTATTTTTAAAAATTTTATTAAAATTCATCAAAGAAATTCAATTATTTTAAAAACTTTTGCTACAATTTATTTATTAGAATTTAAGTATTATTTTCTATTGAAAATTTTGATTAAATTTATTCAAAATATTTTAATTAAATTCTTTGTAATAATTCAATTTTTTTTTTCAAAATAATTTTAATAAAATTCTTCGTAGAAATTTAAATAATTTCAAAAATTTGTCAAAATTAAATTATTTTCAATGTCTACTATTTCAATAAAATTTCATTAAATAATTCAATTATTTAAAAAGACATTTTAATCAAATTCGTCTCAAGAATTCAATTATTTTCAAACATTAATATAATTCTTCGCAGAAATTTAATTGTGTTCAATAATTTACAAAAATTCTCGTCAAAATTTCAATAATCTTTATAAATTCTTCTCCAAAATTTAATTATTTTCTAAAATTTTAATAAAATTCTTGGCAAAATTTCCATTATTTTTAAAAACTCTTATAAAATTCTTTGGAGAAATTAAATTATTTTTAATTAAAATTTTAATCAAATTTCCGAAAAATGAACTTATTCTTAAAATTTTTATTAAAATTTGTCAAGAGAATTGAATAATTTCAAAAATTTGTTTAATTAAAAATTTTTTTAAAAAAATTTAAATTTAAATTTATTAAAAATTTTTTATGAAAATTCAATTTCAAGAAACATTTAATTATTTAATAAAATATTTATTTTTGTATTTAAATAATTGAATTCGCATGGACTTTTCTTTTTTAATAAATATTGAGTTAAAAATGAATTTCAGTTAAAATTTTACATTATCATCGAATATTGAAAGCTAATAGCGTGAATTTAATAATTGAATTGAAATAATTGAATTTTGAAAAGGTTTCAAGTTAAAATCTTGGAAAATTTGAACTTTTCATACTTTTAATTAACAATTCTGTTATTCTGTAGAATTAATTTTTTTAAAAAAGTTTAATTGAATTTTTCTTTAATTCTTCAAGTTTTTATTTTCTAATATATATTTAATTGAAGAATTTCGGAATAATCGAAATTACGTAAAAATTAATATTTTAAAATAATTGAATATTTACGAAGAATTTTATCATTTTTGAAAATAATTGAATTCTTTGCTGAGAATTTTATCAATTTTGAAAATAATTGAATTCTTACGAAGGATTTTTGTCAATTTTAAAAATAATTGAATTATTTCGAAGAATTTTATTCAAATTTTTTGAGAATAATTGAATTCCTGCGAATAATTTTATTATCTATAAAAATAATTAAATTCTTGACAAGATTTTTAAGGAAATTTAGTAATTAATTTTTCTCAAAAAGTTTAATGAAATTTTTTTTTAATTATTTAAAGTTTTCAATTTCTAATTTTTTTTTATTGAAGAATATCAGAAATTTTAGAAATTTTATTTTTTTTATTTTTTAATAGAAATTTTAGGTAAAATTGAAAATTGTTAACAAATGGATTTAAAAATTCGCAAAGAAGAACTTTTTCAAAAATTATAAAAAAAAATTGAGTTCAAGAAGAATTTTTGTTAAAAATTCTAGAAATGAATAATTGAATTGAAATGAAAATAATTTTGAAGAAATTACAGTAATAATATTTTTATAGTATAAAAGATTTGTAATGTTAGTAACATTCAGCCAACTGATCGGTACATCTTCTTTTGCTGGACAATCTTCCTGACGACTTTGTTTCTTCTTTTTATGTTGCAGTTCCACTTCAATAGATTCACAAATATTCAATGAATGAAATTAATTTATTAAGAAGACTACTTTCTTAAGCTAGCTCAACGTTTGCATAAACTTTATAAAATAAAACTAATATTACATCATTTAAAGAAATTTGTACAATTTAGATTTTAAATATGAAAAATATTTTTCAAAAAAATTTCCTATTGTAGAATTTTAATATTTAAGTGATGAATTTTGTAAGATAAAATTGCAAGAATTTGAAATATTTAAATGAAAATGATTGAAGATTTTGTATTCCGCTTTGTTGACACCTGAGGAATAATTAAGCTCTTCGATTGTGAAAAATACACAAACATCGAAATATTTTTTCATATTAGGAAGTGTTTTTGGAATTGGTTGTTTTTTATTTGTTTATATCAAAATATAAAGTCTTTCACAAATGTAATAAAAGAAATAAAAAGTAATTTTACTTTTTTCGATACATAAAAATTTACGCGGCGTATTTTTCCCGCTCCGTACGTTTCCAAGTCTCGCCAAGTGATCTGAAACAAAAATGTGATAAATAATTAAACCAAACTAACTCCTTGGGGCCTTATTTATTATTACAAAATCAAGTCTAAAAAAAACTATATTATACTTTGATTTTTTACGTAAACGGGATAAAAAATAGTTTTTAAATAAATTTAACGATAGAAAAACAAATATAAGACCCGCGTGAAGGAAAAAAAAGATAAATGACCAAAATCGTATTAATAAATTTTTTTATAACTTACATTTAACATGCTCTTTCCTCTTCAAAACATATCTTGCTTTGTTGTCTTATTGCTTATTTTCTTGCTTTTAGCAGTTTGGTATTTTTTCCTCCACCGCCATCATAATCTTTTTCCATCAGTGAGTTCCGCGAAATTCTTGCTTCTCGCCCGATATCCCTACTGTATTCATTCTTCCAGATTAATTACTATTGAAGATCCCTACAACTGTACTACGTGGAATTGCTTCAATCTTTATTTTCTCGTAGTGGAAATTTTCTATTCCTGATTGTTGTTTTGTAAGTTAGCAAACGTTAAACTATTTGCTAGAAATCTCAAAAAAAGGTTTTTGATGGTAAAAGATGTTCTAAGGAAGTGCCCAGCAAGCGCGCCGTGGCCGCTTCAGCTACATGCTCGTTATCCGGATTATACAGTTCCGTTTAATATGCTGTAACTTTTAAAATTGTTTAAATTTTAGATATTTGTTATATCTAGTCATTTTGGGCATTATATGGGTAAGATATGCACAAAAGGGAATTAAACAGATTTCTATTACAGTTGTAATAGAAAACGGAAATTTTCTCTCAAGTTGAATATTTTGAAACGATTTCCTTTATATCACCAATCAACCAGGAAGATTAAAAATTCCTTAGTTTAGTAAAGGGCACAATGTGCTTTCGTTGAGATTGATTAAAAGAAATTTAAATCCCGTTACTAAGTTAGAAATTAATTTTAATTTTTTAATTTCACTATCTTCAAAGAGTTGTCTGTACTTTTTTTTTGAATCTAATTAGAATTCCCTGCGTGGAAATGTTACCTTTGGATGTCAGATAATTATTATGGGAAGTCAGTTCTTCATGAAGAGGAAATTTAAAAAAAAAACGATTTTCAAATACAGTTCAATTCCAATTATCCGAAAGTCCGATTAAACGGATTAGTGCGAAACCTGTTTGAAAATCATCAATTGCTATCACAGGTGACTAATGTCTTAACTCCGAGACAAAGTAATTTAATTCTTAGTGACTATTATTTCATTTAATTCTTAGTGACTATTATTTCATTTAATTCTTAGTGACTATTATTTGCAAAATTTCAATGAAGCTAGTAATTTTTGTCGATCATCATGGTATTCTGTTACTTTTTAAAAACAACTGTTTGTTCAAAATTCTTCAGTTTCCGGTTACATACATATTATGATATGTTTCTAATTTCCAACAGTTATGATCATCCTGTTTTGGTCGATAAATTTGCCATATTAGATAAAGTCATTCATTTTAAAGAAGAATATACACTCGTTAGGAGACTAATTAGTTTAATTGATAAGTTAAAGGTTGCCTTCCAACTGTAAACTATCTCTTTTAGATTATTATCTTCGTAAAAGATCACAGCAAATGTCAATTGGAGGGATTACATCCACAATTTTTGTATTTTGTTGTTTTCCACAAGATCCAGCAATTAGATCACCATTCTTCATAATGTCTATTAACGATATCATAAATGTCATCGAATGGTTCATTTTAATCAATCAGAACGTCTTTATAATGCTTAATTACAAATATATCTTTGGTACTTTGTCTGTACCTTCCAAGTCAAATTTTCTTCAATTAATGTCTCTCTAATTAATGTCATTAAAGTTTAATTCTTAAATTCAATGACTTGATTTTTATTCCATAGTTCATAAGATTAGTATTTCTAGGCAGTGAGGATTTTGCATCCAAATAATTCGTTACTTAATGCTTCATTACTTCGCCTTCTGTTCAAGCTTGGAAATATTTAAAACATCGAAATTCTTAGATCAATTCAAGTAACAATTTTCAAATCCTAAGAGTCTGTCTCAGTCTCTTAGTCTGTCTCAGGCAACATTGATGATTTTTGGTGTTATCCGTAAATAATCCATTATTAGTTTTAGTACTTTTCTTAAAAAATACTCACTCCTCTATTGAATTGATTCAATAAATCAGAAATTCTAGTAATCAGTCAACTATCACAATAAACTCAGATTCGCACTTAGTTTCGCGAAATGGTATCCCAACTCTTCCATTTAATCTAGCTATCAATTTTAATGATGACAACATTTTTTCAGTCAGACCGTAGTTAGTGGAAACAATCTAAAAACTTTTCCCCTTCTTGCATTACCAGGATTCACCGAGAGATTAGCTCTATAATTATTTTGCAACACCGATATGTCATTTTTACAGAAATTCGTTAAAATCTCCAGAAAAAAGGATTCTAGACACTTTTTATAAATGGGATCAAGTGGTAAACAGTTTTTAAGCAAATATAGAAACAAAATGAACAAAAATTAAATACAAAATGTCAATAAATTGTAATAGATTATAATCATTAGGATTATCAAATCTGAATCATATATAAATGCACAAAATTTCTGTCCGTGTACATAATACATCGAAATTGTATAATATTATAAAGAATCTGTTCAACTCACCATAGCTTGTTCAATTTTATTATCAATAGCTACGGCGCTTGTTCCCGACATACTGAAAAAAAGAAACAAAGTTCATTAAAATTTTCACATTAATCATAAATTGAAAAAAATTTCAACAAAAACGAACAAATTTGTTTATAACTAATGTTTGTGCTTTATGTATCTAAGGTTAGTGAGTAGAAATTTAAAATCTTATCGTAAATTGTCATTATATATCAATAATTTAATTTATCAAAAAATATGTAATTTTACAAAGTTGGAATCTTAGAAATTATTAGGTTTAAATTAAAGGGGAAAAGACAATGAATATGCCTGACGAATTTCAAACTTTTTCTCAAATTTTTCTGGTATTGTCATGTTAAAGCTTAGAGATTAGAAAATTGAAAAAAAAAATCAAAAATTTCTTCATATCTCTTTCGTAATTAGTAAATAAAAATACATTAATGCTATTGCAATCAAATATGATTCATCTTTTTGGGAATTTTATAAGATTTACGAATCTGTTTTTAAAATTTTTCTAGCTTAATTTTTTGCCGATTTATCGTAGTTCAAAGAAGTGTGGTTCTTTTCTAAATAATAACATTTTAATAAAAATGTCAGTAAAAGAGATTTCGAGGTCACTGATCACGAATATTATGTCAGATTGACAAGTTTACAGTTGACAGCTGTCAATTCAAATGTCAACTTGTCTAAAAAGTGATCATTTTTAATAAAAAAAAAGATAGCAATAGGATTTTAGAAGTCGCTGATTACGAATGTGATGTCGAATTTGAATTTTGATAATTGACAGCTGTCAAAGAAACTGTCAACTTTTCTAAATAATTATAGTTTTTAGTGAAATTGTCAGTAATAACGTTTCCGAGGTCACTGATTACGAATATGATGTCAGATTGACAAGTTTACAGTTGACAGCTGTCAATTCAAATGTCAACTTCTCTAAAAAGTGATCATTTTTAATAAAAATGACAATAATAGGGTTTTCGAAGTCGCTGATTATGAATATGATATCAAATTTGAATTTTGATAAATGACAGCTGTCATTGAAACTGTCAACTTTTCTAAATAATAACTGTTTTTAATAAAAATGGCAGTAATAAAGTTTTCGAAGTAACTGATTACGAATATGATAACAAATTTGAATTTGACAGTTGACAGCTGTCAAAAAAAGGTCAACTCTTCTAAATAATAACTTTTTAATGAAAATGGCAGTAAAAGGGTTTTCGAAGTCGCTGATTACGAATATGATATCAAATTTGAATTTTGACAGTTGACAGCTGTCAAAGAAAATGTCAACTCTTCTAAATAATAACTTTTTTGAAGAAAATATCAGTAAAAGGGTTTTCAAGGTCGCTGATTACGAATATGATGTCAGATTGACAAGTTTACAGTTGACAACTGTCAACTTCTCTAAAAAGTGATAATTTTTAATAAAAAAGACAGTAATAGGATTTTCGAAGTCGCTGATTACGAATATGATGTCGAATTTGAATTTTGATAATTGACAGCTGTCATAGAAACTATCAACTTTTCCAAAAAATAACTGTTTTTAATGAAAATGGCAGTACTAGGGATATCGAGGTCGATGATTACGAATATGATGTCAGATTGACAAGTTTACAGTTGACAGCTGTCAATTCAACTGTCAACTTCTCTAAAAAGTGATCATTTTGAATAAAAAAAAGGCAGTAATAGGGTTTTCGAAGTCGCTGATTACGAATATGATATCAAATTTGAATTTTGACAGTTGACAGCTGTCAAAGAAAATGTCAACTCTTCTAAATAATAACTTTTTTAAAGAAAATGTCAGTAAAAGGGTTTTCAAGGTCGCTGATTACGAATATGATGTCAGATTGACAAGTTTACAGTTGACAACTGTCAACTTCACTAAAAAATGATAATTTTTAATAAAAAAGACAGTAATAGGATTTTCGAAGTCGCTGATTACGAATATGATGTCGAATTTGAATTTTGATAATTGACAGCTGTCATAGAAACTATCAACTTTTCTATATAATAACGATTTTTAACGAAAATGACAATAAAAGGGTTTACGGAGTCGCTGATTACTAATATGATGTCAGATTGACAAGTTTACAGTTGACAGCTGTCAATTCAACTATCAACTTTTCTAAAAAGTGATCATTTTTAATAAAAAAAGATAGTAATAGGGTTTTTCGAAGTCGCTGATTACGAATATGGTGTCAAATTTGAATGTTGATAATTGACAGCTGTCAAAAAAACTGTTAACTTTTCTATATAATAACGATTTTTAACGAAAATGACAATAACAGGGTTTACGGAGTCGCTGATTACTAATATGATGTCAAATTTGAAAATTGATCATTGACAGCCGTCAAAGAAACTGTCAACTTTTCTAAATAATAACTGTTCTTACCAAAAATGACATTTTGGATTTTATAAATCTGATATTGGATTTGTAATCAGCAACCCCGAAAACCTCAGTATAATGAATTTCAAGTGAATCCTTTAAATTTTCAAAAAATAATCTGACATATTAGATCCACCATTTTGAATTTTTGGAATCTGATATCGAATTCGTAATCAGGGACATTTTTTAAATTCAGGTTATGTTCAAACTTTTAAGCTGCCAAACTTAATATAATATCATAAGTATAAAAAATTTAAAGTGTTTATTTATTATTTGATTTAGATCAGATTCATAATTATTCTAGTAATTCCTCCCATGAAAAATATTCAAAAATAAGTTTTATAAATTTTAAACATATAAGAAATAATTTAATAAAATTTCACTAAATACAAGAAATAATTTTACTTTTTCTAAAAGTACAATAAGCACGTGGCAAGTTTAAAAAAAAGAGTGGGGGGTAAAAATGAGTGAAGAGTTGTCCACGTGGTAGGGGTCGTTCATAAACTACGTCACACTCCTAGGGGTGGGGGGGGGGGTGTCAAGCTGTGTGTGACGAAGTGTGGGAAAAAAATTGTTTTGTCTGTAAAAAATGTGACGAAGGGGGGGGGGGGTAAAAATCAGTCCGAAAAAGCGTGACGTAGTTTGTGAATGACCCCGTATATGAACAGTCCCAAAGATGTATCGCAATAGGAATATAATATATAAAAATCTACAAGCAGCAACATAGACAAACTTTTTTTTGTAAAAAAAATGCAAATGAATATTTTAATAATTAAGATGTCGAAAGTGTGAAAGAATGTGCGAATAACAATATGCATTTAAGAAAATATGTAAACCAGGTCTATTTCTGAATCATTAGAATGAAATAAATGATATTACTCCAAGTGCATGACGCAAAAGCTTTCTAGTGCCAACATTAAACTTAATACAGTTTGTTTTGACACTTGGCTATGCCAGAAGTCACTTAAAAAGAAAAAATTCTTTTCATTAAATATGTGCAATAATCCTTAACAATTTTGTGAATTTGAAATTCCCATAAAAACCATCAACCTACACTTGAAAAACAAGTTTTTTCTTTTATTCAAAATTGAAAATATCATTGTACATTTGAAAAACAAACACAATTTGTTACTTAATAGCAAAATGAAATTGAGAATGATTAAAATTTAATAGTGACGATAATTCTTTTTAGTGGCAAAAATAGAAATACAAAAAATAAATTAATAATTTATGAAAAAAATGTAAAAGCAGTATTATTCGTTGAAATACACAAGATAAGCAAATGTTGTAGAATCTGTCCTTCAGCTAAATTTACTGTAGTTCAAGTCTAACAATAAAATCATCATCTATTTAAGATTGATATATCATTACCGCCGTCTGAATTCTCGACCACTGAGCATCATAAACGAAAATTTTTAAAAATTATTTTCAGGTACTGTCGACAATATTAAGTCGAATAACATTGAAAAGGTTGATAATCATCTGAAGCGCGGATGCTACTAGTCTGAATATTTTAAGACTTTAATAGAGTTCACTCTTCTTCTTGAGATATTTATTACTAATAAAACAGACGACTAACACGCTGTTTTTCTAAAGCTATACGCCAATTGATAAGGCGTTCAATATCAACTATATATTTGCTTAAACGATTCTATGTTATAAAGATAAAAAATTAATTTTAATAAAATTCATGATTTGACAATTATTATAGACACTGTTCTATAACGATTGGTAGAAATTATACAGAATTTGCACGCTGTATAGCATCTACGTTTCCCTAGAACAACAAAATTAAATGTGTTAATTCTTTATATTTATTCTGATGGGAAAAAGTTAGTCACCAATGTTCATAAAATATGAAAATTAATATAAAAATCTATATTTAAGTTAATAGCTATCTAAGGTGGAAGTTAACGTGTTTAACAAAAACTATTTGGTTCTTTTGTCTAAGAAAAAATTTCTTATTGCGTCTATATAAAAAAAGAAGGTTCAGCTGTAAGAGAAAGATATGCCATTGAATTGAAGACATTACTATTTTGAAACATGTGAAATTTGTGTACTCTCGGTTGGTATTTGATTTCGTCAATAAGACCCAATTTTATTTTAAAAGGACCCCAGTCACGGTTAAATTACATATAACAGGGTTGCCATAGGTCAGGGATTTTTATTAAAAGTACTAGCAAAAATTAAATTTTTTGAAATTTTTAAGAAAAATCTAAATTTTAGTGTCTTTTTTGCTTGCCTCATAAGCTATGAAATTGTCAAGAATTCTAATACAAAACCTTCAATTTTTTCAATTTTTGACAAAAATTTCTTTTTAAATAACTTCATTCTTCAAAAACTATCATAAAATTAATAAAATTATTACTTATAAATTATATAATGAAAAATTTTACTTAAAAATTTCAAAATTAATTGTATTTCAAAAGAGTTGCTTTTACAATCTTCATAAATAGATGAACTTCAAAGGTTACAATGTGAAATTTTAGAAAATTTCAATTTTTAATGAATTTAAAAAGAAATTTTAAAAACAACTGATTACAGAAATTAAATTATTTTCAAACGTGATAAACTTCTTCGCATAAATTCAATTATGTTCAAAAATTAAAAAAAAAAATTCTCGTCAAAATTTCAATTATCTTTATAAATAATAAAATTCTTCACCGAAATTAAATTATTTTCAAAAAACTTAATGAAATTCATATGAAAATTTCAATTATTTTTAAAAATTTTCCTCAATTCAATCATTTTTAATACATAAAATTTTTCAAAAGAATTCAATTATTTAAACAAAATTTTAATAAAAATTTCACAGGAATTCAATTACTTACCAATTTTTTTTTTTTTATAAATTTCTTCGCACCAATTCAATTATTTTTAATTTTTTAATGAAGTTTCTCAAAAGAATTCAAATATATTCAGAGAATTGAAAAAAAAGTTCTCACAAATTCAATTATTTCGAAAAATTTAAATAAAATTCTTTCAAAAATTCTATTATTTAAACAAATTTTGACAAAATTCTTTACAAGATTTAGTTAATAAAATTGCAATTTTAATAAAATTTTCTTATTTAATTCAATTATTTTCAATACAATCCAAGAATTCAATTATTTTCACAAATAATATTATACATTTTTTTATGGGAATTCAATTATTTAAAAAAATTTGAAAAAAATTCTTCGCAAGAAATCAATTATTTTCATAAATAATAAAATTCTTTTAAAAAATAAAACTTTTCACATTAATTCAATAATTTAAAAAAAATTTTAATAAAATTCTACGTCAGATTTCAATTATTTTCAATTTTTTAATAAAATTTCTCGATGGAATTTAATTATTTATAAAAAAATTTTAAAAAATTCATTTTGAAAAGGGTTCAAATTAAAATAATAATGATTAAATATTTATTTAAAAAAGAAGTTATTGATGTTTTCGAATAATTTTAATATTCAATTATAATATAAAATTTTAACTGAAATCCATTTTTAAATCAATTTTTATTAGAAAATTCTACTAGAAATCAATTATTTAAATACAAAATAAAAACAATTTATTGAATAATTGCATGTTTCTTAAAATTGAATTTTCTAAACAAATTTTTGATTAATTGAATTCTTTCGATGAATTTTAATAAAATTTTTAAGAATAAATATACTTTTCGAGAAGTTCGATTAAAATTATATACCTAAATTAATTGAAATTCTGCAGTGAGTTTTATTATTTATTAAAATAATTGAATTCCCAAAAAGAATTTTATTACTTGCATAATTGAATTCTTTTGGAAAATGTTATTAAAATAGTAGATTTTAAAAATCATTGAATTCAGGAACATTTTTGAAAATAATTGAAATTTTAACAAGAATTTTATTAAAATTTTTGAAAATAATTGAATTTCGGAGAAGAATTTTATTACTTATAAAGACAATTTAAATTTTGACGAAAATTTTTAAAGATTATGTGACCGTAATTGAATTTCTGCAATCATTTGTAATTTCTCTAAAATTCTCCAAATTAATATATGGGGCATTCCACGCCAAGTCGGACACCTTTTGACTTTTGCATCTCCGATTTTTTTCAAATATTTTTTTTCTTTTAGTGCTGGTTGAAAGGAACTTCCATGATTTTTTTCAAATTTTTTCATGAAGTAATTTAAGAGATCTGGGTTTTTGAAAAATCACGTTTTTTACATAAATTTTTTTTTTAAATGCTTATAACTCGGACAAAAATTGATCAAATTGGACGTTCGATATATGAAAATTTTTGTTTTTACACGTAGTTTTTGATAAAAATATTAAAAAAAAATTTTTTTTTAATTTACCAAAAAAATTTTAAATTTTAAAAATAAAATTTAATTTTTAAGAATGTATGTATCGATCGATTTTTTTCAAAATTTTTTGTAAGAAACTGGTACTAAATTAAGAATTTTTAATCCTTGTCTGATTGTGGGCAAACGATGGGATCTATTTATTTTGAAATTTTTAATTTTTGTAAAACGGTAGGTAGCCAAATGCCTAACTTGCAATTTGATCAAATCACTTTTTTAAACAGTAAGAAGGTTAAGTTCGGAGAGACTCAGTCTGAAAACAGTTTTGGTTTGAAAAATTTGCGTGATTTGGTCAAATGTCAAGTTACGCATTTGGCTACCTACCGTTTTCACTGCGTATACAAAAATTAAAAATTACAAAATAAATAGATCCCATCGTTTGCCCACAATCAGACAAGGATTAAAAATTCTTAATTTAGTACCAGTTTCTTACAAAAAATTTTGAAAAAAATCGATCGATACATACATTCTTAAAAATTAAATTTTATTTTTAAAATTTAAAATTTTTTTGGTAAATTAAAAAAAAAATTTTTTTTAATATTTTTATCAAAAACTACGTGTAAAAACAAAAATTTTCATATATCGAACGTCCAATTTGATCAATTTTTGTCCGAGTTATAAGCATTTAAAAAAAAAATTTATGTAAAAAACGTGATTTTTCAAAAACCCAGATCTCTTAAATTACTTCATGAAAAAATTTGAAAAAAATCATGGAAGTTCCTTTCAACCAGCACTAAAAGAAAAAAAATATTTGAAAAAAATCGGAGATGCAAAAGTCAACAGGTGTCCGACTTGGCGTGGAATGCCCCATATATAATAAAACAATGCTCGATGTTAATTTCAAGTCTTGTAATGAACATTTTTGGATAAAAATTTTTAAATTCAAAAACGAAGAAGTTAGTTTGCCAAATTTCAATAGAAGATAAATTATGCTGTTTGGAAAATATTTGCAAAACCCCAAATGTTTTCGAATAATTTTAATATTCAATTATAATATAAAATTTTAACTGAAATGCATTTTTAAATCAATTTTTATTAGAAAATTCTACTAGAATTCAATTATTTAAAAATACAAAATAAAAACAATTTATTGAAAAATTGCATGTTTTTAAAATTGAATTTTCCGAAAGAATTTTATGAACAAATTTTTGATTAATTCAATTCTTTCGACGAATTTTAATAAAATTTTTAAATTTAAATTTAATAAAATTTTTAAATCTAAATTTAAATTTTTAAATTTGCCATTTGTTAAATTATTTTTATATTAGATTCAATTTGTAATTTAGAAAATTATAGCTTCTATTTTATTTTCTAATTTATTTATATGGGAAATGATAAAAAACCCCCGAGTAGCATACAAGTTTTATATAAATTTGAGCAATTTTGAAAAAATGACCTCCATATTGGATCCGCCATTTTGAATTTTGTAAACCTGACTTCAGATTCGTAATCAAGGATCCCAAAAACCCCTGAGTAATAAAATTCAACAAAATCCAACGTTAGGTTTCTCGGGGGCACGAAAGGGTTAAAATTAAAGTGTAAAAGTTCTAGAAATATGTAGGCCTAAATACTTTCAAAATCCGCCAGAAAAAAATGAATTTTTAAAGTTGAAAAAGTGGTATGAATCAAAGTTCAAAGTGCAGACATTGTTTCCATTGTGCAGGGCAAAATAAAAAAAGTAATTAAAAAAAGTTACCTTTCAGTGTCTTCGACAGGTGGCTGATCATCAGCATTCTGCGTGACTTCGGCGAGCGTCTCGCCAACCGCTTGTTCGGTCGATTGTGCTCCAGACACAACCTGAATGTTCGAAATGGAGTCCTGCTCCTGGTCAGTTTGATGGAACGTCATGTTCCCTTGTTGAATGCCACCGATTGCCCCGACTGGCACACTTTGACAATTGGCAGGAACTTGCGTCATCTGTACTTGGGGATTACTGCCCTGCGGTTGCATTTGGCTTTGATTAATAACCTGCGTTTGCAATGGCGCGCCAGGAATGTGAATCGATGACTGTGACTGGGCGCCAGATTGAGGAACTTGGTGAATATTTTGAATGCCCTGCATTCCCTGCATGGCGGATGTCATTGGCTCGGAGATTTGTGTCATTTGGGGGATTTGTTGCATTTGTTGAATGTGTTGGGGGTGTTGTTGTTGTTGTTGTTGCTGTTGTTGTTGAACTTGTTGTTGGGGGTGGGAATGGGGTATTTGAACTTGCTGTTGGTGTTGCACTTGTTGAGGATGTTGCACTTGTTGGGGGTGTTGTTGCACTTGTTGGGGAAGTTGAACCTGCTGCTGGTGTTGGACTTGCTGGGGATGTTGGACCTGTTGGGGGATTGTTGGGTGGGGGATTTGTTGAGAATGTTGAACTTGCTGCTGAGAATGTTGAACTTGTTGAGAATGCTGAACTTGTGGTGAGTGTTGGGGTTGTTGGGAGAGTTGTGGCTGTTGTTGTTGTTGTTGTTGTGGATGCTGCGGTTGTTGGGGCTGATGCGAGAGCTGTATGTTGGGCTGGGAGGTTGGTATTGAAGGTTGCTGGACAAAATTGGGGGGGCATACATTTGTTGCTGGCAGAGATTGGCCTTGCGAGTTGACTGTCACGTAGGTTTCATCCTTCGATAGGGCTAAGTTCGCTTGAGTTGGCACGCCGTTGCTGGCTTGAGGAAGAATGGAGATGGAGCCTTGGGGCATGCTCTGCGGATGGCCGAGGCTGTTGGGAAGGTTGGACTGCAGGTTGGCGGGCAGGGTCGACCCTTGACTTCCGGGTGGTTGTTGTTGAGAGGCTAAATTCGACGACTGGAAGTACTGGGGAACCTGATTCTGAGACTGAACCTGCACTGCGTTATGCTGTATATTCTGAGCAATTGAATTGTTCATTGCATAACTCGCTCCAGGTATTGTTCCAGCTCCGCCCGCCATTCCCATCATTCCGTGCAGTTCTTGATGAGTTACATGACCATTCAAGTCCAAGCTTCTACCTAAAATTCAAAACACAAATTTAGACAAAGTTTTCGGCGCTGATTTTCAGGCTTCGTACTCGATAATAAATTTTTGCGGCAGTATAATTAATTCACTTCACATTTATTATTTCCTATTGTTTTTATATAAATTCAAGTTAATTATTGGACAAATTTTTCAAAACATACAACATGTGCACCTTAAATTTTTCCGTGTAGTTTCAGGACTGAAAAAAGTTGTAAAAAAGTAGCTATCGAAAAATAAAATTTGACATCTCAATCTTTTCATAATTTCTAAATTAAATTACATTCAAGAATAGAATAATTTTTGTTCAAATAAATATTTCAATATCTATTTATTTTTCACTGGAATTAAAATATTTTAAATGATTTCAATGTAAAGCCGCCTTTTTGAAGTTTAACCGGATTTCTAAAAATTAAAACTGCAATTTTTTTTTGAGAATTTTCAAATTTTTTTGTTTACAATTCAATTTTACGAAATTTTGATTATTCAGAAATTCTTCAATTAAATATTTATATTAGAAAAAGAAACTTCAAATAATTTAAAAAAAATGCAATTAAATTTTTCCAAAAAAATTAGTTCTACAGAGTTTTAAATTAAAAGTTGGACAAATTCAGATTTTCAAAAATTTTAATTTGAAACTTTTTGAAAATTCAATTATTTCTAAAAATTCACGCTATACTTAATATTCTTTTAATATTCAATTATTAGCTAAAATTTTAACTGAAATTCATTTTTAAATCAATTTTTATTAAAAAATTCTGTGAGAATAAAATTATTTAAATACAAAACTAAATAATTTATTGAATAATTGAATATTTCTTATAATTGAATTCTTTCGACGAATTTTAATAAGATTTTTAAGAATAATTACAATTTTCAAGGAATTCGATTAAAATTGTATTAAAATTAATTGAAATTCTGCAATGTGTTTTATTTTCAATGTAAATAATTTAATTTCTAAAAAGAATTTTATTACTTATGAAAATAATTAAATTCCTGTAAAAACATTTATAATCTATAAAAATAATTGAATTATTGCAAAAAAACTTTTTTAAATTTGTAAATAATTGGATTTCTGTGAAATTTTTATCTATGAAAATAAGTAATTAAATGTTAGCGTAAAATTTTATTAAAATTTTTTTTAAATAACTGACATCTTTTGGAAAATTTTGTCAGAATAGCAGATATTGAAAATCATTGAATTTTGATGAAAATTTTTACCAATAATTGAAATTTTGCCAAGAATTTTTAAATATAATTGAATTTCGGAGAATAATTTTATTATTTATACAGATAATTGAAATTTTAACGAAAATTTTAAAAAAATTTTTGAATTTAATTCGAATTCATGTGAAATTTTTATTATTTATGAAAATAATTAAATGTTTGCGTAGAATTTCATCAAAATTTTTTTATAAATAATTGAATTCATTTAGAAAATTTTATTAAAATAGTAGATATTGAATGTTATTGAATGTTAAGGAAAATTTCATGAAAGCAATTAAAATTTTGCCAAGAATGTTAAGTTTTTTGAAATTTTTGAAAATAATTGAATTTCTCCAATTATTGACAACTTCTCTAAAATTCAATTTTTTTAATTATTATCAATTTATCAATTTCTATCATTTATATCAATTTTTTCAATTATTTTTAACTAAAATTCTTTGATAAATTGTGATAATTTCACAGTTTATGAGTTAAACAAAAAAATATAAAAAAATATCAGAATTTTCTTATGAATTCTAAAAATTTAATTTTTTCCAGTACTTTTAATAAAAATCCCTGATTTTTCCCTGACCTGTGTTAACCCTGGAATTTGTTACCAAGAATTTTATTAAAATTTTTGAAAATAATTAAATTCTTTCAAGAAATTTAATTAAAAATCTATTGGAAATAATTATTAAATTCTAATAAACAAATTATATCAAATTTGTAAAAAATAATTGAATTCTTTAGAAGAATTTTAATAAAATTCCCAAGAATAATTGCTTTTGTCGAAGAATTCATAGAAAATTGTATTAAAAATAATAGAAATTAAATTAATTAAATAATTGAATTTCTGTAAATATTGTATTGAAAATAATTGAATTAATTCCAAAGAATTTTATAACTTATGAAAGTCATTGAATTTTTGCGACAAATTTTATTACATTTTCTTTTAAATCATTAAATTCTTTTGGGAAATTTTATTGAAATAGTACCTATAGATATTGAAAATAATTGAATTTCGAGAAATTTTTTAAATCAATTGAATTTCTACGAAGAATTCAATTAATAATTTTTGGAAATAATTCAAATAATACGAAGAATTTCATTAAAATTTTTGAAAATAATTAAATTCTTTTAAGAAATTTAATTAAAAATGTATTGAAAATAATTATTACATTCTAATAAATAAATTATATCAAAATTCTTTTACATAATTGAATTCTTTTCAAGAATTTTAATAAAATTATTAAAGAATAATTAAAAAAAAAATTTTTTTAAATTGAATTCTGTTGGAAAATATTTAATTACAATATTAGATATTGAAAATAATTGAAGTTATGAAAATTTTTGAATCGTTTGAAAGAATTTAATTAAAATTTGTTGAATTGTTTCTTAGAGTTCAATTAAAATTTTTGAGAATAATTTTTTTATTCCAACTATTAGCGAATTTAAAATAGTGCAAATTCTTAAAGATAGAAAAAAGTAGCTTTTAGTGCCACAAATTTAAGGAAAAGTATCCAAATAGTAGGAAATCGTAAAAAGTAGATTTTAGTAGCTGACGAGTACGAAGCCTGGATTTTGCAAATATAAAGATTGAAGGGCGAACCTTTCTCGTCCCCAACGGCATTCTGCTTGAGTGCATCAGGCACGACGATTCCACTGTCCGTGACTCCGTACGATATGCACACCTCGTTCGGATCGGGAACTTTGGCACCTCCAATGACATTGGACTGATTGACCGAAGTGTGGTCGAGGTAGTCCATACACGTCCATCGTCCACGCTTGAAAGGCTCGGTACTTTCGATTTTGACAACTTTGAACCGCTCGTTCCTGCCGTGAGAGTGAACCTCGCGGAGTTCGGGGTCCTGCTTTGCGCCCGCGGAAATCAGGTTGATGATGTTGTTGTCCGTGACAGAGGCAATGTCCAAATTGTTAATGTTGTTTTCGTTGACAGAGTTGCTGACGTTGCTCCCTTCGGACGGCACTATTGCGAGGCCGTATTGGGAGCTGGTTGGGATCACCGGCGCCGTGCCGAGGGCCACGTTACTCGTGTTGAAGAAGACGTCTTCCTTGGAGAACGTGTCTTCTGAATAGCTCGGCGTCTCAAGGTCCGTGATCCGTGAATGCTCCACGGAATTGTCCTCAGTGTGCGACTCATCCAAGTCGTCGTTCGAATCCTCTCCAGCATCGTTGCTCATGCGGCAAGCGACTGTGACGCTCGTTATTTGGAAGGAGGAAGTCTTTTTACGGCACTGGTTATTATTCGGAGTTGAATTACTTTGTACAGCTAAATTAGCTGGTGGTAGTAATTTATCTGGATCAGACAATCGTATAGTTTCAGACGTTGTTCGATGCACAGGAGTTACAATCTTTCTATTCCCTGCAAAATTTAAAACTTTATTAAAATCACATTTTTTTTGGAAAATGCAGAATAAATAACTAGTTTTGTGAAAGTATTTAAAAATACGGACTTTACGAACCAAAAATTTAAAAAATACGGATCAATTACTGACAAAAATATAACCATCAGTCCAAGTCAAATAATAAGAGAACATTTTACTTTAAATTATAAATTAAATTTTTCACAACTATAAAACATGAAGATATCGATAACTCCGAGTCTTCGACTCGGAGTCATTGATTTCTTCATGTTTTGTAATAATAACCAAAGATGACCGAGTGATAAATTCAATTATTATTTTCAAGAATTTTTAACTAAATTTCTCCTTTAAATCTATGATCTACATTAATAACAGACTTCGCACTCGATAATTAATTTTGATGACCAAAAAAACTCGTTTTAGATAATTCACAAACCTGACAAAAATTCCATTCTATATTTTAATTTCTTGTCTTTTTCATTAAATTGCAAAACGTTTTCAAACATAATTTCAATTAAAATTTTTGACAATAATTAAATGTCTGTGTGACAATTTATTAAATATTTTCGAAAATAATTGAATTCTTGCCAAAAATTTTATTAGAATTTTTGTAAATAATTGAATTTTCATGAAGAAATTTATTAATTTTCAAAATAATTGAATTCTTGTGATGAATATTGTTATTTATGAAAATAATTGAATTTTGCAAAAAATTTTATTAAAATGACTCAAAATAATTGAATTCCTTCAAAGAATTATTTATGTAAATAATTTAATGTCTGTGTGGAAATTTATTAAATATTTTCAAAAATAATTGAATTCCTAAAATGCATTTTAATATTTATGAAAATAATTGAATTCTTGCCAAAGATTTTATTGGAATTTTTTTAAATAATTTAATTTCCATGAAGAAATTTATTACTAGTTTATAAATAATTAAATTCTTGTAAAAAATTATAATATTTTTGTAAATAATTGGATTGTTCCAAAGATTTAAAAAAAAAAACATTTTTTTAAATAATTAATTTTTTCGAGGAATTGAAATTAAATTTTTAAGAATAATCACATTTCGTCAGCAATTCCTGTAAAATTGTGTTAAAAATAATTCAAATTCTGCGATGAATTTTATTATTTATGAAAATAATTGAATTATTGCGAAAATTTTTATTAAAATGTTGAAAAAGAATTGAATTTCCATGAAAAAATTTATTAATTTTCAAAATAATTGAAGTCTAGTGATGAATATTGCTATTTATGAAAATAATTGAATTTTGCAAAAAATTTTATTAAAATGACTCAAAATAATTGAATTCCTTCAAAGAATTATTTATGTAAATAATTTAATGTCTGTGTGGCAATTTATTAAATATTTTCGAAAATAATCGAATTCCTAAAATGCATTTTATTATTTATGAAAATAATTCAATTCTTGCAAACGATTTTATTAGAATTTTTTAAAATAATTCAATTTCCATGAAAAATTCTAATATTTTTAAAAATAATTGAATTCTTGTGATGAATATTGTTATTTATGAAAATAATTGAATTTTGTAAAGAATTTTATTAAAATGCCTCAAAATAATTGAATTTTCGAGAATAATTTTGTTATTTATCTTTAATAATTAAATTTCTTTCGAAGTATTATTTATGTAAATAATTGAATTCTTGGGAACAATTTTATTAAAATCTAAAATAATAATTGAATTATTTCAAAAAAATGTAATTAAAATTGTACTTAAAATAATTAATTTCTTTCGAAAAATTTTATTAAAATATTTGAATTCCTGTAAAAAATTCTAATATTTTTGTAAATAATTGAATTGTTCTAAAGAATTAAAAAAAACATTTTTTTAAATAATTGATTTTTTCGAGGAATTGAAATTGAATTTTTAAGAATAATTACATTTCTCCATCAATTCCTGTAAAATTGTGTTAAAAATAATTCAAATTCTGCGATGAATTTTATTATTTATGAAAATAATTAAATAGTTGCTAAGTATTTAAGAAAAATTTCAATTTCAAAAATAATTGAATTCCTGAGAAGAATTTTATTATTTATGAAAATAATTGAATTATTGCAAAAAATTTTATTAAAATGTTGAAAAAGAATTGAATTTTTGTGAAAAATTGTGTTATTTTTGAAAATAATTGAATTCTTTATAAGAATTTTATAAATTTTTTCGAAATTTAATAAATAATATAAAAATTTTATTTTAAATAATTGCATTCTTGTGGAAAACTTTATTTGTGAAAATAATTGAATTTATCGATTAATTAATTTAAAATAGTATTAGGTAAAGATAATTGAAATCCTACGATGAATTTTGTTATTTATAAAAATAATTGAATAGTTGCAAAGAATTTTATTAAAATTTGCAAAAATAATTGAATTCCTGAGAAGAACTTTATTATTTATGAAAATAATTGAATATTATTGCGAAAAATTTTATTAAAATTTTGAAAAAGAATTAAATTTCTGTGAAAGATTTTGTTCTTTTTGATTTATTTTGTTATTTATTGAAAATAATTGAATTTCTCAGAAACATTTTACTATTTATGAAAATAATAAATATTGAATTCTTGCCAAGAATTTTACAATTTATAAAAAGAATTGAATTGTTTCAAAGAATTTTTTATCAGAATTGTTGAAAATAATTGAATTTTTTTTTAAATTCTTGAAAATAGTTGAATTTAAATAATACTTAAAAAAAATTGTTTTCTTTATAGACAAATTTTATTAAAATTGTATTGAAAATAATTGAATTTCCCCGAAACATTTTATTATTTATGAAAATAATTGAATTCTTTTGTAGATTTTTATTATTTATGAAAATATTTTAATTCTTGCGAAGAATTTTCTTATTTATCAAAATAATTAAATTCTTGCGAAGAATTTTACAATTCATAAAAATAATTTAATTGTTTCGAGGGATTTTATCTGAATTTATATTAAAATTTTTGAAAATAATTGAAATTTTTCCAAAAATTATCATTTTTAGAAATAATTAAATTTCATATAAGGTTTCAAGAATTAATATTTTTTAAATTTTAATTCCTGTGGAAAAATAAAGAAAAATTATTTAAATATTTATTTAACAAAATTATTAAAGTTTTATACAATTGAATTTAGAAAATTGTGAAAGGTCAGGGAAATACAGAATAAAATTTTTGTGACAACACTGAATAAAATAAACTTTTTCGATTCTTTTTTTGTATCTTTAATCGACTCAAGAGATTTTTTGCGCCTGAAAGTCGATCCGAGGACTGAATAAATGATAAATTTAGTAATTATAGTATTAAATCCTTCATATAATCTAATTAAATCTTGAAGACATAACATATTAAACGAAAAACCAAATAATCTCAACACATTTTTTTCACATATTTAATAAATTTTAAATTCAATGTTTTTTATAAATATTTTCTCTATAACTTGAATCCAGATTATTATTTTTAAACTTTCACGTTAAAATATAATTCTTAGGATCTTGAAATTCAGCTAAAAGTAAGTTTAACATCAATAAAAAACTAAATTTAATAATTTTTGAAATATCTCAAAATAGTGCAATATTTTCATTTCGAAAAATTAATAATTAAAAAAAATCATAATTTAAAAGAAAAAATATTAAAGTAAAGAATTTTTCCCAAAAAATTAAAATATAAAAAATAATCCAATTCTTTAAGTTCTGAATCAATGAAAAAGTAATTTAATAATTTTTGAAATATTTCCAAAAAGATGCAATATTTTCATTTCGAAAAATGAATAATTAAGAAAAATCATAATTCAAAAGAAAAAAATATTAAAGTAACGAATTTTCTAAAGAAAAAATTAAAATATTAAAAAGTAATTCAATTATTTAAAAATAAAAATAAAATAATTCGAATAAATTTTTTAAAATAAATAATATAAAAACAATATTAAAATAGTGATTTGTATAAAACTTTTGTCGAATAGTAATTCGAGAAGAACAGTTTCGTTTTAATGAAAATTATGAGCTTGAAATTTAGGGAATAATCATGTGCCACGAGTCTGAGTAATTCCTAAAAAAAGATTTGTTATTTCGTATTCAGAACATTTTTTTGCTACAAAAATTTACAAAATAGGTAGTAAACATTTTTAGATTTCAAAATTCTCTATTATAATATTGATTGTCAATTAAAAAAAATTTATTTTTAATGTTAAAAATATAAAAATTTTATTGAAAAGTAATTAATTTTTATTTAAATAAAAAATTTTCTTTAAAAAATTGGTAAATTTTTGGAATAAAGTGAAATTGTAAAATTTTAATGAAAATCTTTATTCTATTTTTATAATCTATTGTATTGAATAAAGAGCCACAAATAATATAGTATTATTTCAAAATATATAAACATATAGCATAAAATGTGAACTGCGGCAATCATGATACGTAGTAGTGATATGCGAGATATAGATATGATCCTAAATTTAACTCTTCAATGAATTACCTTAATCTCCTTTTAGTCATAATTAACTTAATTAATGAGCTCTGTTTTCTTAACAGAAAAATTCTGTCACATTAAAATTCAAAATTAACCAATTATTTAATAAATTTAACAAAAATTATTCATTATTTCAATTAAGATTAAAATTTCTCCTTTTTTTATTAATAAAGACAATGAAAAACAATTTTGCCAAGAACTGCGTTTTAATTATAAATGATGAAATTTGAAAATACTTAGAAGTTCGAAACTTAATTAGAAATAATAGTAATATGTTTATATCTTTATAAATTTTTCTTTTTCTTCAATAGAAAAATTAAGTCTGAAGGTACAAAAGAAAGTAAAATGTTCATAAATATAAAATTAGGTCTAATAATAAATAATTAGGTACTTATCTATTTTGTGTATAGTAATTAAATAAAAAAATATCCAAATGTTTTAATTTAATTAAAAGAGTTTTGAAAAATTCAATTCAATTCAATTTTTAAAATACATGATTAAAATATTAATTAATATTAAATATTCAAATATTCAAATG